GCATAGCCTAGTTGGACTTCATGAAACTAAAAAACGCTTCTGCCTCAAACAAAAAGAAATTAACGGTCCTCTAAACTGAAGAGCCACTCGAGTGCGAGAAAATACTCGCAGCTACATATCAGACAAAGGACTGATAACCAGAATATACAGGGAACTTAAAAACTAAAATTAATGAACGCAATAAATGAATTGGGCAAGTTGAACTAAACAGACAACTTTCTCAAAAGAAGAAATTCAAATGGCCAAAAACACATGAAAATGCTCCATACTCTAGCAATAAAGGAAATGAAATCTAAACCACACTAGATTCATCTCAACCCCTGTTAGAATGCCCATCATTCAGCAAACACCACTACAAAGGTGTTGGGTGAAGGATGTGGGGGGAAAAAAGGAACCTCTGTACACTGTTGGTGGGTAATGTAAACTAGTACAGACCACTCTGGAACAACTTATTTGGAGGCTACTTAGAAAGCTAACATTGATCTACTATTTGATCCACAATCCCATCTTGGGATATTACCCAAAAGCAAATGTGACTCAGGTTACTGCCAGAGGCATCTGCCAACACCCATATTTATTGCAGCACTAACTCACCACACAGTCAGTTTGGAAATAGCAAGGATGCACGCATTACTGACAAATGGATTCAGAAAATGTGGTAATTTATAACACAATGGAGATTGTTTGCAGCCATGAAGAAAGAAATGTTACCATTCGCTGGTAAATGGATGGAAGTGGAGAACATCATTCTGAGTGAGGTTAGTCTGGCTGAAAAGACCAAAAATCGTATGTTCTCCCTCATATGCAGACATTAGATCAAGGGCAAACACAACAAGGGGATTGGACTTTGATCACATGATGAGGTGAGAGCACACAGGGAGGTATGAGGATAGGTAAGACACCTAAGAAACCAGATGGCATTTGTTGCCCTCAACGCAGAGAAACGAAAGCAGATACTTTGGGGCAACTGAGGCCAATAGGAGAGGGGGACCAGGAACTAGAGAAAAGGTTAGTTCAAGAAGAATTAACTTAGAAGGTAACACCCATGCACAGGAAATCAATGTGAGTCAACTCCCTGTATAGCTATCCGTATCTGAACTGGCAAAAACTCTTGGTCCTTCCTATTATTGCTTATCATTTCTCTTCAACAAAATTAGAGATAAGGGCAAAATAGTTTCTGCCACGTATCAAGTGGGTGGGGGGGGGAGAGAGAAGGGGCGTGGGGGTAAAGAGTGCGTGGGGGAAGCGGGGAGAAATGACCTAAACACTGTATGCACATATGAATAAAATAAAAATTAAAAAAAAAAAGGCCTGTCGTAATGGAGGTACTTTTAAACATAAAGCCAGAGTTGCTGGTTTAGAAAACATGGCAATACAGAAACCAAAAACAGCCAAATGTTTTAAATGTGGCTCCTAAATAATGAAAAATTACAGGCTTTAAAACAAGTAGTTCAAGAACAATTAGAGCACAAACATACAGAACCTTCCTTTTCTCCTTGGAATTTCCCAGTGTTTGTTATTAAGAAAAAAATCAGGAAAGTGGAGACCTTTATTGGCTTTGTCCTTTTCTGGGTATACCAAATTATAAACTTACTAATTTGTTTTCTATCTTAGAAGGTGATACTGCCCTGGACAGCCCTCGGACTTTAACACCTGCTGCTGAAAATGAATTACGATTTTTTGAGTCACGATTACAGACTGCATTTCTAGTAAGATTTGATCCTTTAAAACCTATTTCCCTCATAATATTTCCTTCTCCTTCTAACATTACCTTTACTGTTTATCTTGTCATTTTTTGTATAAGATACTCCTGTGTCCAGTGACAATTAAAATCTTACAAAACTTCTGAAGCCATGGTCACACTGGGATTGCTGTGTTTAAAAGATAAAAAAGGGGGCACTGTTGGAGTCAGCTGTGGGACCGTGCCTGTGTGATTTGGCATGTGGCCTTGTGAAAAAGCTATAAGGAACTGAGGCAAAGGTCTCAGAACCAGACGTCCAGAAAAATAACAGTGCTCAAGGTTCCCCAGATGGCTTCATGTCCTTCAGATGTAAAGAAAAAAGTTATGATGACCGTGTGCTTCTCCTGCCTGTTTCCGTTTTAAGAGACACAACAAACGACTTAATTTTAACTGTGCTTCCTTGTACTAATGTAACCTTGACACGTGATACTTGACATGCTTTTTCTGACCAAATAGTCTCTGTGAAAAAGGAGTTTATAAAAAGCAGTAGTGATCTTCAATAAAGTGGCTATTGAGTACAACTCTATAGTCCCCCTCATCTTTTTTGGCTCTAGTCACCCAGGTCCAGCTGATAAATGGCAACAGTGGTGGTAGTGGTGGGGGAAAGTGTGGAAGACAGGGTATTGCCATGTAGCCCAGGGTGGCCTCAAACTTATGATCCTCCCATGTCATACTCATAAGTATACCACCACATGCATAGCCTTTTCTACTCTCATATCCATACACACTGTCTTTGTTACTGTAGCTTCATAGTAGGTTTTAAATTGGGTAGTGTCAATACTCTAAATTTGTTCTTCTCCTTCAATACTTTTGCCTTTCTGTATAAATTCTAGAATTAGTTTGTAAATACTCACAAAATAACTTGCTGAGATGGTGATTAGGTTTCACCTAACTATTCTGATTTACTCTTCCCTTGTATGCTAAAAATTTTGATTCCCAACAATATTGTTATTTGGTTTATCCTAAAAATTACCTAAAATAATTTAAAGTCTCACTAGTACCACTAATATGAATCCAATTTTAGATTGTGGGTAGGCGTAATTCTTTTGTTGCCAGATTATACCCTGCTGGGGTGATCCAAGCTACTGTGGAGGTAGACATCCTAGCTACTTTGGAGGATCACAGTTCAGACTCAGCCTGGGCAAACAGTTCTCAGGGCTCTATCTCAAAAACACCCAATGCAAAACAACTGACTAGCAAATGATGTCCAGAGTTCAATACCCAGTACTGCCAAAAAAAAAAAAAAAAAAAGAGAGAACATAACCCACTCGAAAATGCAGTTGAAGTACCGTGTTTTAAATCACTCGCAGCAACCATTTTCTTTATATACTTACTTTTGTTTGTTGTTTTGCTTTTCTAAAATTATTTCCACCCCCATTTCTTATTTTTTAGCTAACTACATTTATAGAGCTTAAAAATCAAACTATATTTTCAAAGGACATTCATTAGACTCCTTGCTCAAATCATTTCTCTTTACCTCACCTTAGTAGCAACTACTTACATACTTCTATTGTTTCTTTTATAGAAAATATAAGCAAATATGAATATATGTAAATATATCCACTGTTTTTTGGGCAGTACGGGGTGGGGGGCTTTGCACTGTATACCCACTGTTCTGGACCTTGTTTTGTTTCCCATTTAATAATATCATTAAATCTTATTCATTCCAGACTGGCCTTGAATCCTGGGTTCAATGATCATCCTGCCCAGCCTACAGCTAGGATTATAGGTACTTGCCACCATACTTGGCTAGGATAGAATCTTAGAAGTAGAACTGGTGGATCAAAAGGTGATTGCATATGTAATTGTGCTGTATTTTAGTCTATTATCACTTTAATAATCTATTTGTCTTCTAAATTATCTGAACTTTTAGTAGCCCTATTGGTTACTGGTACCCAGAACTAGACTTTATTTTCTATTAAAGACTAACAGGGACACTTACAATTTCATTATGTGGCATTACACTCTTGTACCATCAAATGAACAATCCTTTAAAAACACTTAATGACAGAGTGCCTGCCTAGCAAGTGTGAAGCCCTAAATTCAAACCCAGAACAACCAAAAAAGAAAAAAACAAAACAAACGAACCAAAAAAACACTTAATGAGTACTTACTGGGTAAAACAAAGGATGGTAGATACTTGAGGGTAAGAAGGAAGATTCTGAAATTTAACTGTTCCTGTCATCAAGAAACTTGTATCAAGGAAGGAGGAGCTGAGCACTGGTGCTCATGTCTATAATCCTAGCTACTCAAGAGGTAGAGATCAGGGAGATCTTGGTTTGAAGTCAGCCCAGGCAAATAGTTTGCGAGACCCTATCTGAAAAAAAACCCTTTATGAAAAAGGACTAGTGGAGTGGCTCAAGGTGTAGGCCCTGAGTTCAAACCCTAGTATCAGAGAAAACAAAGAAAAAAGAAAGGGGAACAGGCAGAAAAGAGAAGCAGGCAAAGTAGTGAAACAACACTAAGAAACAACTACAAAGGATTATAAAATAAGATAGTAGGTGATGAATGAATGCTACAAGGTGAACAAAGCTGAAAGAATCAAGAATGGTTTCACGAGCAGACTTAGCAAAAGGCTGAAAGTAGTCAGGAAACTGGGTGCTGGTGGCTCATACCTATAATCAATCCTAGCTACATAGGAGGCTGAGATAGTAGGATCCCAGTTTGAAGCCAGCCCAGGCCAAAAAAACAACAAAAAAAAAGTTTTGAGACCACATCTCAATGGAACAAATCTGGATATGTGTCTATCAACCTAGCTATGGCAGGAAGCATGAAATAGAAGGCTAGAAGTCCAGGCTGGCCTAGGCAAAAGCAAGACCTGATCTCCAAAATAACCAGAGCAAAAAAGGCTGGATGCATTGTTTAAGTGGGAGAGTGCCTGACAAATGCAAAATCCTGACTTCAAACTCTAGTATCTCTGAGATTAAAAAGAAAGAAAGTACTCAGGCGGATATAAGCCTTAGAGAAACCATGAGAATGAGGAATTCGAAAAAACAGACAGGCAAGTCAAAATGGAATCTCTGCATATGTGCAGAGCAGCTACAAGTGAGACAAGTGGCTTCCACTAATTATTCCCCTCACAGCTTATTCTACCTTTCCCCATTTAAATGGCATCTGCAAAGAGATAAATGAGTAATCATTCAACAAAAGACATAAAGACTTACAAATACATAGTATGATTAATCACAAGCATAATTAATTCTGCCAATAAAGCATGAACAAATGTTATTTACAATTAATACCCAGATGGGAGCTTTACCTGTGTCTATTGTAAGGAGTATCTGAAGCGTGTGTGCCATGGTGATCAAATGGAAGAGATAGAGGTGGTTATAGGAAGAACTAATTGATGAAGGCTGCAGATCAACAGTATCATCCCAGTACAAAGATGGGAATGCTAACACAGCACCTACCTATGAGAGAAAAATGGACATCAACATGGGTAACGACAAAAGCGCAACACGAATTAATCTCACAACTAAACATAAAGGGCACATAAACTGTGCCTGTGGGTTTTTTTTTTTTTTTAAATAATCACCACATTTTTCTGAGTTATTCAACAGAGAACATAATGTAGCATAAATGGAGGACAAAGGTCACCATTTTGCTGAGTACTTATTTTAGGTCTAGGTAGTGGTTTTCAACTGTGTGTTTCATAGGATTCAACATTACAATCACTTGGGGAGTTCTTAAGACAACACTGACACACAGGCTTCAGACCAGTCCAATCAAATCAGAATCTCTGGGGTTAGGGACAGTTATCAGTATTTTCAAAGTTCCCCCAGGAGATTACAAAGGAGATTCAGGGTTAACAACTATCAAGTAGAGGCCTAGATAATGAGGGATGGGGGGGCGAGGGGAGTGTTGGCTTTAAACCTACATCCACAAAGTCATGAGTCCCAACCTCATTATTGGATTTCTTCACAGAACTTCACTTAAAGGAATGAGATTATCACAAGGATGGAAAAGTTCTGCATGAAACTCATCTGACAGTTCTCACTTGTCATAGGTATTCTGAGGAAACCTAAATGCATTTATAGTCTGGTCCCTATTACCAAATAATTAATGATTTTAAAATAGCTCACACTGTTATTTATAATGTAAACAAGTCAAAAAAAGGGAGTGGGAGGAAGCACAATACAAAATAAGGAAAAATCTGTTTGTACATACACTAACAAATATAACCAACTAGGACATGGCCAATACAAAGTAAGCTTTTAATTTTAATGTGATTTTGATGGTCTCAGTCAAATCTATACTTAATGGTAAACAGAACTGACAAAAACCAAATTTTAAAGGCTGAACACCAATAGTTTATAATCTTGAACAAAGAGTATGAATTTGAATAAGGAAAACATATTAAACTTGTTGACTTCCCCAAAATTTTACTGAACACTTACCAAAACATGAAATAGATCTATAGATAGAAGACATGGTGTATCTTCTGATTGTAGGTTTGGAAGAACAACTAAAACAAAAAGTTAATGTAATTCAGTCAGTAAGATAGTAATATACTTAAATAAAATGCAAGCTAGAAGCATTTAAAACTTTAAAGTTTCTGTGTTTTAAAACACAGAACCCAGCACATCACACCCTTAAAATATGAGAATCATAATACAAGAAAAATTGAACTGAGAAAAGGCTACTAAAAAACCTTGGGTACAATTTAAGGGTTGAAATGTAAGATCCTAGAGGAAAAGGTGAATGAAGTAGGGTAACTGAAATATAGACTACTCAAAAATATTTGCTGGATGGGGGTATAGCTCACTGATAAAAGCGCATGCTTAGCATGCAAGAGGGCTCATTACCTGGCAGGCCCCTCACCCCCAAATGCTAAATGAGTAATAAGAGTTGCTTTTATAAAATTTTCCCTTTATCAATCACATTCCTTCCTTCCTTCCTCCCTCTTCCCTTCCCCTCATTTCTCTCTCTCTCTGTTTGAACTCCAGGCCTCATACTTGCTAGGCAGGTGCTCTACCACTTGAGCCATTCCCCATTCCACTAGCCCTTGGCACCCAGCCTAACACATTTCTAAATGTTCTGTGATATATAAAGAGATTTGGGACAGAGGGGTGGGTGGGTCAGGGAGAGCATGCAAAGCAGTATAGGGGAAATGAGGATGCAGAAAACCCTCCTGCACAAAATTAGACAATTGATTTTATGGACTGACTATATGGAGGAAATGTAAACAGCTCAAAAGCTATCATCCCTCTAATTTGGTCAGTCTCTAGGGAAAAGCATAAATCTAAAAGTCAGGGAAAGAGTGGCAAGGAGAAGAAATCAAGAAATCAAAGGGCTAGAGGTGTGGCTCAAGTGGTAGAGTGCCTGCTTAAAAAAGTTTAAAGGCAACAGGGATTTTTTGTTGTTGTTGTTGAGATAGGATATGGCTATGCAGAAGGCCTTGAAAACTGTTTTTTTTTTTTTGAAAGGTTTATTAACATATGCTCAAGCATAGCATACAGTAACTACTCAGTGTTATGATCATAGAGCTTTGCCATTAACTAGCTGTGTGACCTTGAAAAGTCACTTGCTATTTCCAGGTCTCATTCCTTTATACTAAAATTTTTCAGTACTATTTCTGATACTGAGTTAGCATGTCCATGAGATCACCTATCTTCCTTTCTTTCTTTCTTTCTTTTTTGGTAGGACTGGGGTTTGAACTCAAGGCTTCATGCTTGCAAAGCAGGCGCTCTACCACCACTTGAGCCACAGCTCCAGTCCAGTTTGCTCAGGTTGTTTTGTTGTGTGTGTGTGTGTTTGAAGTACTGGGGTTTAAATTCAGGGCCTCATGCTTGCTAGGCAGGCACTCTGCCTCTTAAGCTACTCTGCCAGCCACTGCTCTGGTTACTTTGCAGATGGGGGTATTATATACGATTTTCCTGGGCTGGCTTGAACCAGGATTATCCCAATCTTAGCCTCCCATGCCCAGCTCCTACCTTATTTTCTTCTGTGGGTTATAACTTGCTTTACTCTAAAAACATTTAAATAACTCCTAATTCTATGTCTTGAATTCTACTACTTTTTAGCCACTGGCATACTTCTGTCATCAAAATTTTCTTCTATGCAGTTCTGAAACTGGTACTATACAAAAATAAACTTATTTATTGCTTAAGAAATCCAAAAAAGTCAATTTTAGCATGGATATTTTTGTTTTACCTATAGGTTAAATCACCTCTTTATGCTAAATTAAGTTTATGTAATATAGTAGGAAAAACAAGGGCTTTACAGTCAGGCCTGGACTCAAATATTCTGTCTCTTACTGGTTTTATGACAAGGCAAGTCATATAACTCCCTAAGCGTAAGTTTTCTTGTTGTAAATGGAGAGACCAATGATGTCTTCAAAGATGGTGATTAGAAGAAATGAGATTAAATAAGATAGTAGTACAGAGCTCACATGGTTAACAATGCACAATGTATATTGTACTGTTCCTGCTGAATCAGCATATTAAAATAATATTCATCACCTTCCATACAAAACAGCTCTACTCTGGAATACTTTATTTCTCTCAAATTTTCTGTTATTTATTTTAGTTCACAATCTTGTCTTTGCCCAGACCAGCCCAATTCCTTCCTTAATTCCTATTATGATATCCATATACATATTACCTCTAACTTTTCCTGAGCCCCAGAATACCAATGCTCAAAACTTTAAAAAAAATTCCCAATTATCTAAAGAATAAAATTCAGACTTCTCACTTAAGATCTTCTATTTTGTGCCACACATGGTGGCACATGCCTGTAATCCTAACACTCAGGAAATTTAGGCAGGAGGACCGTAAAGCCAGCCTGGGCATTAACAGCAGGCTACCCCTGTCTCAACAAAACAAGCAAGAAAATGGACTGGAGGTGTGGCTCAAGCAGTACAAGCAGCTATCCATAGCAAGCGTGAGGGTCTGAGTTCAAACCACAAATGCTGCAAAAATAAATAAATTGATACTCAATCATAAGCCTTAAAATGGAAGGGAATGCATCATTTTATACCTCTTTATATAGTTTACAGCCCCAACGCAAAAAAAAAGACATCCCAGATAAATTTTCACATGAAAAAAATTTCATAGTAGGCACAAAGGGCAAAAGCACACACAATTTTACCAGCTACTGCTAATTAGACATTATTAGCAATAATAATCACTTTTGTCTGCCATTTGTGATAATGTTAGTTTTGTCTGGTACTTATTTTGAGGTATGTTAAACATTATAATCTCATAATGTGCAATGAGACCATATGGAAGGGTATATGAATTATGACTGAAATGAATGATGCCAAAAGATTAAAAAACCAGAAAATAATATGCAAACAGGATAAACTGTTAAATAATAGGAAGTGGTCCTAAGCACAAAGACAGGCAGGTGTAACATATGGAAAGTTCTGTGCCTGTGCAATTGACCACCAAGAGAGAAAAGCAAAAAACTGAAAGAAAACTTTTAAGTGTACAGCTATGGGAACAGCTTCAATATTAGATTCCTAATAACATAAGCTAATTTGGGAAATAGGCAGAAGTTATTCTAAAAATGTAAAATCTGAGCATGCTTGAAGTTTCTTTTCTTTTTTTGAAATGTGGTCTTGCTATGTTGCTCACTCTGATTTCTAACTTGCATTCCTCTTGTCTCAACCTCCCAAGTAGATCAGATGACAGACACATGCCACCATGTCAAATTTAGATGGCAGCCTTGGATGGAGCTGAGGAATCCCCTCATCATTGGAGTAGGCAGAAGGCTATGCAAGAAGAGCTTTTCAAGGTAATGAAGCTGCTCTTTGTTGGGGAAAAAGGACTGCTAGTTTTAATGAGAAGAAAAACTATACCTGACGAAAACTGAAAACCTAAGTAATTCTGTTATTTGGTGGAAATGTATCTGGAAAGTGCGAGCTGAAATCTCCTACCCATGACAAAATAATTTAAAAACAGCCCTTTTAAAGGCTGACCTGTTTGAGTGCAGAGGAGCTTTTGCAGCAGACTTCAAATATATGAATGAAAGTACAAATAACTAAAATGAAAGTAAATCAATTCTTCTGGCATGTAAACTCTTATCCTTCTTACTAGGAGCAAATGAGGACTTAGTAAATTTCTACCATGTTAAAATGTAAGAAAAGAAGCTGTTACAGACTCTCTCAAAGAAAAGGCATGGGCCTGAGTTCTAAGACTATCACAATTAGTATTTCTATTATTTTACATGACTCAATAACAAAGTTAAATATATCTTAAAGTAGTCTATTCAAATCATTTCTCCTTTTCTAACCAGACGTGGAAGTTAGTGGCTGTATTAGTTCAATAACCTAGATAGGCAGAAGGAATATAAGCTGAAAATATTTAGAAAACACCTGATTTTTAAAGTAAGTATTACAGGGGTAGCTATGCATTTTACTTACTTATTTTTGGTAAGCCTACTATAGGCAGTGAGATTCCATTAGTGAGTGCTCAAAATCAGTATGGTGCAATTGTTTCTTAATGAAATATACTGCCAGAAATGAAGTAGAAAAATACACATAATAATTATACACATAATAAAAATACAACATAATAATTAAGAGAAGTCTCTACCTGACAGAAGACGAACCAAATGTTTCTGTATCAGGACCTGAGGACAGGTCATCCTTTGTGCAACTGCAAACTGCATCAATGCTTTCAGCCCATTGTGCTAGATTGTAAGAGGGGAAGACAAAACAAGAAAGACGACAGACCTAAGTCTTCACTGCAAAAACCAATTCTAGCTATCAGAAATGATTACAGACTCATTGTATACTTTACATTCAAATTATATTATTCTTACTACCTATAAAGTTTTATGATTTTACTAAATTTCTAACAGATTCTCCTATGACAAATAAATATTAAAGCTATGATCAATTTCAATTATTTTTAAGTACTCATTTTTTTCCAGAGTTAATTTTGTAAACATCTGGCCTATTTTATTACAGAATTATGTTGTTCTTTTCAGAAAAAAGGACAAAAGATTATTTAAATGATAAATTAACTATGGAATTCTTTAACGACAACAACAATAAACAAAGCCTTCCCACAAACTACATGAACTCTATTGGAATATACATACCTGCCTATTTTGAAGTGCTCCAAATAGAGGTTTTCCTTCATCTCCCAATAAGTTTTCTTAAAAAGTAGGAAAAATACAAAAATAATAAATTCAGAATAGGGCAACAATTGTACTTTTTTGGTTGTTTTTTATTTGAGATAAGATATTGTTACGTAACCCAAGCTGACCCTGAATTCGCTATATAACCCAAGCTGGCCTCAAACTTACTATCTTCCTGCTGCAGGCTTCTAAGTACTAGGATTACACCACACCCAACTCCCTGTCTCTGAATGGACTATAATAAATGACCCTTTGATTTGATTCCTCAGCTAATGTCTTGTGCCAAGACATCCAGTAATTTCTCATCATCTCTGTAAGGGATGAGATAATTTAGCTAATTATACACTAAGAATAAATACATTTCAATACAAAGATAACTATGTAAGGTAATACATTTGTTAACTAACTTGGTTTAATCATTCTACAATACATTCATATCACTCTTCAGAACACCATGTTGTGCCTAATACAATTTAATTTGTCAATTAAAAAAATAGATCATGTCTGTTCAATGAAAAAACCACTACAGCAAACATAATACACTACTATACTAATCAACTAGAATCCAATTGCTAGATTACAAAACCACATATGAAAAGAGTGTTATTTCCAGTGAACTTCTTCTCATCTCCTTTATAACAAAACAATGACTTTTATGTTCGAAGTCTAAATATAAATTCCTGATGCTTGTCTCTGCAAAAAATAGTAAAATATGAAATACCAGTTGAGTATTCCTAATCCAAAATGCTCTAAAATCTGAAACTAAAATATTTAGATATCTGGACTGGGGATCCTCACAGATAAATAAACTATGACAATATTTCAAAATAAAAAAAAACCCTAAAATTTTAAACAATTCTAGTCCCAGGCATTTCAACCTGTACTTTCACTGAAAATATGATGAGAAAGCAGACAAAAGAACTACTTCAAAAGAATGATTTATATTTCTTCTAAATTTGTCCATATTCTACTCTATTTAAATCTCATTTTTCAAATGAGATTTGTAACTTCCAACTGTAATGAGACAATGTGCTAAAAAAATTACTGAGAATTTCTAAGTTGATTCTTCTTTATTTACCTTTTATTCCTGATAGTGTAAAGTTTTAAAACTACCACATTTTTTTTTTTTTGCAGTACTGGGGATTTTAAACCCAGTTCCTTGTGCATGTTAGGCAAGCACTCAACCACTTGAGCCACTCACCCAGCCCTTTTGATTTTTTTTTTTTTTTTTTGGATACTTTTGGCTGAACTAGCTTTGCATTTAAGACCTTTGTGCCTCCACTTCCTGGGTAGCTGGGATTAGAGAAATGTGCTACCAGGCTTGGCTAAATCTGCCACTTTGTGACTAATGCATGCTTTGTGCTATACCATTAAAATGCATTAAACTTACGTTAAAAATAGCTACTGTGGTAATTAAAAATAATCAACATAAAAAATTCTCAGACTGTCAAGAGTGGCTTAAGCTGTAAGAGTGCCTGCTGCCCAAAAAAATAAAATAAAAATTCTCAGATTGAATGGCATCAGGCTACACTAAAATACTGAAATACTAATAGTCTTCAAACAAGTCAAAGTATTTGGGGGCCATTAAGAGAAAGAAAGAAAGAATGTCTGGATAATGTTAATTCTATTTCATGGAAACGTCTGGACCACTTTTCTTATGGGCTTTACCAATTGCCTGGATAGTAAAAGCACACGTGCTCCAAGTCATCATGGGGACCCGAGGGTCCATTTCATCAGGAGGCACTTTCAGTCCAATTCGATAAATTGTTGTGGCAAAGAGAATGACCATTTCCTTGATGCTATTAGAATATTTGATCCTAAAAAGAAAATGAGCAATTTATACAATCATTTACTAAAAAGGCTACTTCCTGAGAACTCTCACTAGGTACTGAAGTAATAGAAATAAACTCGTTTTGACATAATTGCTCTTTGAAAAATTAGAGATTAGACACTTCGTAAGATCTACTTTGATAAGAAAAAAATGAGGAGCAGAATTGTATCTCTTAAAGGTAGAAAAATGTCTCTAAGTGGTAATGATCCATAAAAGATGCAGTAAATAATCACAGTTGGAAGGGCTGAGGTCTAAATTAAGGGACAGATTGGGCAGCAGGAATAAAATTCAGTGTAGATCTCACCTACCAATTTTGGTATTTGGAGAAGGGTGTTAGTAGGGTTGTGTGCGCAACAAGAGGATTGGACTTTGAGCACATGATAAAAGCGCGAGCACACAAGGGAGGGGTGAGGATAGGTAAGACACCTAAAAAATTAGCTAGCATTTGTTGCCTTTAACGCAGAGAAACTAAAGCAGATACCTTAAAAGCACTGAGGCCAATAGGAAAAGGGGACTAGGAACTAGAGAAAAGGTTAGATCAAAAAGAATTAACCTAGAAGGTAACACACATGCACAGGAAATTAATGTGAGTCAACTCCCTGTATAGTTATCCTTATCTCAACCAGCAAAAACCCTTGTTCCTTCCTATTATTGCTTATACTCTCTCTTCAACAAAATTAGAGAAAAGGGCAAAATAGTTTCTGCTGGGTATCTAAGGGGGTGGAGTGGGTGGTAAGGGAGGGGTTGGGAGCAGGGGGGAGAAATGACCCAAGCATTGTGTACACATATGAATAATAAAACAATAAAAAAAATAGGGTTGTGTGTGTTTACAATAGCCTCAAAAAAAATCAAATACCTAGGTGTAAACTTAACAAAGGATGAGAATGACCTCTACAAGGAAAACTACAAACCCCTGAAGAAAGAGATTGAGGAAGACTACAGAAAGTGGAGAGATCTCCCATGCTCATGGATTGGTAGAATCAACATAGTAAAAACGGCTATACTACCAAAAGCAATCTACATGGTTAACGCAATTCCCATCAAAATCCCAATGACTTTCATCACAGAGATTGAAAAATTTACCCTAAAATTCATTTGGAAACGCAAGAGACTGTGAATAGCCAAGGCAATACTCAGCAAAAAGAACAATGCTGGAGGTATCACAATACACGACTTCAAACTATATTACAAAGCAATAACAATAAAAACAGCACGGTACTGGCACAAAAACAGACATGAAGACCACTGGAACACAATAGAGGACCCAGATATGAATCCATACAACTATACCCACCTTATTTTTGACAAAGGTGCCAAAAATATACGATGGAGAAAAGAGAGCCTCTTCAACAAATGTTGTTGGGAAAAGTGGTTATCTGTCTCCAAGAAACTGAAACTAGATCCATGTCTATCACCCTGTACTAGTATTAACTCAAAATGGATCTAGGACCTTAATATCAGACCCCAAACTCTAAAGTTGGTACAGGAAAGTGTAGGAAATACTTTGGAAGTAATAGGTATAGGAAAGGACTTACTCAATGGAACACCAACAGCTGAGCAACTCAGAGAAAGTATGGACAAATGGGACTTCATAAAACTAAAAAGCTTCTGCTCAACAAAATTAATGCTTTCTAAACTGAAGAGACCACCCACAGAATGGGAGAAAATATTTGTCAGCTACACATCAGACAAAGGACTGATAACCAGAATATACAGCGAACTCAAAAAACTAAACTCTCCCAAAATTAATGAACCAATAAAGAAATGGGCAAGTTAACTAAACAGAACTTTCTCAAAAGAAGAAATTCAAATGGCCAAAAAACACATGAAAAAATGCTCACCATCTCTAGCCATAAAGGAAATGCAAATCGAAACCACACTAAGATTCCACCTCACCCGTTAGAATAGCCATCATTAGAAACACCACCAACAACAGGTGTTGGCAAGTATGTGGGGAAAAAGGAACCCTTAAACACTGCTGGTGGGAATGCAAACTAGTAAAACCACTCTAGAAAAAAATTTGGAGGCTTCTTAAAAATCTAAACATAGATTTGCCATATGATCCAGCAATACCACTCTTGGGGATATCCCAAAAGAGTGTGACACAGGTTACTCCAGAGGCACTTGCACACTCATGTTTATGGCAGCATTATTCATAATAGCCAAGTTATGGAAACAGCCAAGATGCCCCACTACTGACAAATGGATTAAGAAAATGTGGTATTTATACACAACGGAATTTTACTCAGTCATGAAGAATGAAATCTTATCACTGGCAAGTAAATGGATGGAACTGGAGAACATCATCCTGAGTGAGGTTAGCCAGGTCCAGAAGACCAAAAATTGTATGTTCTCCCTCATATGCAGACTTTAGATCAAGGGTAAACACAACAAGGGGATTGGACTTTGATCACATTATAAGGCGAGAGCACACAAGGGAGGTATGAGGATAGGTAAGAAACACAAAAAACTAGATAGCATCTGATGTCCTCAATGAAAAGGAACTAATGCAGAAACTTTAAAACGAAAGAGGCCAATAGGAGAAGGGGACCAGGTACTAGAGAAAAGGTTAGTTCAAGAGAATCAATTTAGACTGGAAGAGTGGCTCAAGTGGTAGAGTGCCTGCATAATAAGAAGAATCGATTTAGAATGGAACACATAGGCACAGGAAAGCAATGTGAGGAATCTCCCTGTATAGCTATCCTTATCTCAACTAGCAAAAACCCTTTGTCCTCCTTATTAATGTTTATACTCTCTCTTCAACAAAATTAGAGGTAAGGGCAAAACAGTTCCTGCTCAAAGTTGGGGGGGAGGGGGAGGGGAAGGGAGAGGGTGGAGGGAAGGGGGGAGAAATGAACCAAACATTGTATGCACATATGAATAAAAGAAATTTAAAAATATGAGAAAAAAATAAAGTAAATCAGATGAAAAAAAAATAGGGTTGTGTGTGTACACGTGAAAATGTATTGTAATGATAATTTCCGGTTCAGTAGCAATGGAACAAAATGATATAAACAAAGGTTACAACTAGAAATAAATATTCTAGTTAGTCACATTCATGAAATAACAATAACTGTACATTATACACTTTTTAGGTATCATCACATAAATACCTTTCTAATAACCTCATAAGGTAGGTTAGAAGGCCACTGCCTCAATTCTACAAACATGAAAAACAAATTGGGGTTGAGTGGGAAGAACCCATACTTCTCAGAAAGTCACAAGGCAAGTTAGATGTGACTTTTTAGAGAAGTGTGAAAATCCGATCTTCTTAAAAATTGAAACATACAGAATTGGCATTTTTAAAAAAAGTTTTAGCAAGGATTTATTTTAGTATAACAGGATGAAGTATAGACAGGAGGCCAGGATGGAGAGAAAAAGAAAAACATTTCCTGTTACCCATACAGGAAACGGGAGTACAGACTCCAGAATTGGCATTTTTTGTTGTTGCTGTTGGTAAAAAATGGTTATATAGAGGCATGGTCCACTGTAATACATATATTTCTTTAACATTTAAATAATAATATGGTTAATAATACAAATAAAACTCCAAGGAGAAAAAAAGAAAACCAGGATAAAGGAAAATTTTACAAATAAAGAGGGAAGGAAAAAAGAAGGAAGGACTCTTTCTCACCCTTATTTCTACAACCATTTATAAACTTTATAGATACTTACGAAGACTGAACTCCAAAACTCAGGATGGAATGAAACTCAAAAGTGGAATCTCCCATTCCTTGATTAAACAAGACAGGCATTGTTGGGTTTTCTCCTTATAAATAAAGAAAAAATTATGAGTAAATCTAGTCTGCAATCACTTGTCTGGCTTTTTAAAATTATACACGATCATTTTAGAAAACGCTAGTAAGCAATGAACAGTCACCTATAATTTCTCCACCCACACAACATTTGGGTGATAGTCTTCTTTCTCCATACAAATGTTACACATTAGGATTTTCTTTTTCCAGTACTGAGGTTTGAACTCAGTGTCTCGAGGTTGCTAGGCAGGTATGCTACTGTTTGAGACACTCTACCAGCAGGACTTTTATTTTTTTTTTAAAGACATCATACAGTGCTGTTCTGCACTTTGCTTTTTCACCTAAAAGATTATGAGTATCAGTTACTCATCAGTAACTCTCTCTGTATATTTCATTTTTTACATTTTTATTAGCACATATTAGTGTACAGAGTGGTTTCATTGTGACATTTATAATACATGCTTACAATACACATTGATTAGGTTCACCCCCTCATCACTCTCCCTCATTCTCTCTTCCCCTTCTTAAAACAATTTCAACAGGTTTCACTGTTCTATTTTCACACAAGTATACAAAGTACATCGACCACATTCACCCTCCTTTATCCTCTCTGTTCACCCTTCCACTGTATATTTCAATTTTTAATGACTATGTAAATATTTTTACTGAAGCAGATATAACTCTTATTACACACTATAAGAGTAAGAGTAAAGCATCTAGAATCAACCTGCCTGGATCTTTACTTACATAGCAAATGTGTACATTAGTTCCTTATTTGGAATGGGATGTTATCTAGATTTTTATTTATTTAAAGACAAGGTCTTGATATAGCACAGACTTTTGATCCTCCTGCCACCATGTCCCAAGTGTGGGTATGCCTTTAAGATTTTTTTTTTTTTTTTTTTTAACTCAGAGCTTCATGCTTGCAAAGCAGGTACTCTACTGCTTGAGCCACACATCCAGGCCATTTTGGTCTGGTTATTCTGGCTATTTGTCCAGGTCAGCCTCGAACCAACATCCTTGCGATCTCAGCCTCCCAAGTAGCTAGGATTAAAAGTTGAGTCACTGGCACCTGGTGGCTACTTTTAAGATTTTTTATTTTTTATTTTCAACAATTTTGTTATGATGTAGCTGAATGTGGTTTTCTTTACATCTGTTTGAAGTTCAGTGAGCTTTGAGTTTATAAATGTGTATATTTTTACCAAATATACATAAGTTTTGGCCATTGAAATTTCCTCAAATATTTTTTGGTATCTATTGATATAAATATTGGATTTAAAATATTAATGTCTTACCGATCCCTAAGGCAATATACTCTTTTTTTCCCCTCATTTCTTCTCTGATGCTCAGACTGCATAATTTCCATAGACCTGATTTAAAAATTACTGAACACTTACTTCCTCATCTTTATTCTACTAATGAGCCCCAGCCAGTTAACATCTTTTCAAGTAATATTTTTGCAACTCTACTACCTCCATGTTTTCTTTGTTTCTATTTCTTTGCTAACTAATATCTTTCCTCTCATTTCAAGAATGTTCACCCTCACCTATGTTTCATAGTTGTGTTAGTTTTCAGGCCTTTGTTATGGTTCTGTAAACTACTCAAGATGTGTACTAACTAAGAGGTTGACCTGGGACTTTAGCGGTGGTTTAAATGCAGCTTAGTTCTCAATGCATCTGCTGTACTGCCTGTCCTGCACATGTGCAGTATTTAGGTGATTCTCAGACTTGTATTGGTCTCAAAATCAGAGTTCAGGTTAGGGGTCTGGCTCAAATAGTAGAGTGCATGCTTAGCAAGCAAAAGGCCCTGAGTTCAACCTCCCATACAAAAAAAAAAAAATGTAATAGCACAGAACAATTCAGCAGGGCATGGGAACTCATATTTATAATCCCAGCTACTCAGGAGGCAGAGATTGAGAGGATGGAAGCTCAAGGCCTGCCTGAGAAAAAAGTTAGTAAGGTTCTATTTCAATGAAAAAGTTGGACATGATGTGTGCCTGTGATCCCAACTCTATGTGAAAATCATAGGTAGGAGGAATGTAATTGGTCCAGGCTGGCCTGGGCAAAAAAACAAATTTCAAAAAGCGCTGGGGGTGTGGCTCAAATGGTAGAGCACCTGCCTAGCAAGCACAAGACCCTGAGTCCAAACCCTACTACCATCAAAAACACAAAGCAAAACAAAGACACAAGATTCCTTTTCTATACCTCTCTCCTCTCTGGGATTTCTCGTACTCTCTAGCCCCAACAGGCCCCTTTCCCAGTTGATTTGGCCAAAATGACAAGTTTCTCTCAGTTTAAGTACCCCATGATCTCATGTAGACTAAATGACTGGGCTGTTTTAGCAGAAGAATAGTCTTCTGAATTGTAGCCCAAGTAACTCCATCTTGTAGAAAGATGCCATTCAGCTGTTCTGTATACTAGGATATATGCTAAACGACAGAAAACCCAAGCCGTCTTTTTCATGGTTTGACATTATTTGCTTAGACCAGCTGAACTTGTTCAAATCATTTTTTAGGCTGCTGGTGTGTCCCAATTTGGAGGCAGACTTTTTTTTGTCTCCCTAAGAAATTCACACAACAGCTGTCTGTGGGGTAAAGTTAGTTGTCAGGCTAAGAGAAAATAATAAGGATTCACCTTGCATTCTTAGGGACACGGGATTCTTTTTCCATTTCCTCTGGCTAGAAAGATTGATTTTCTGTTGGGATTTTACATATTAATGTAGCCACCATGGCAGTGCAGCTCCATGCCTAGGGCTGGCCCTGGAAAAGGGCCAAAGGAGGAATACAATATAATAGGAATTTCCTTTACCCTCTCCGGCTTTGAGAGACTTATTTCCTTTGGTCAGAAACAGAGATAATCTCACTTTTTTGGTGTTAAAGCCCATTGCATAGATCTGTGATTTAGGATGCCCTTGGGTCAAAATTGCCTGTATTGAGCTTTCTTAAGATTTTGACCTTCCTCCTCAATCTGTACGCTGTTATGTACTTTTCAGAGTTTTTAGGTATTTGGGCTTACTGTAGTATACGAAAATGCATTTATTAGGGATTTATGAGGAATAGATGTTGGAATTTTGTGAAGTCTTCTTCAAAAAATCTAATATTGGGCTGAGAGTATAGCTCAGAGGTGAAATGTTTGTCTAGCTTGTATGAGGCCTTGGGGTTCTATCCACATTGCATAATAAATAAATAATCTATCATAATGATCATACCAGTTTTCTTTAGCCTTTTTTTTTAAGACAAGGGCTTGATATGAAGCCTAGGTTGACCTCAAACTCCAATTCTCTTGCCTTCGCCTAATTAGTATTAGGATTACAGGTGTGCACTACCATGCCCAGCTACCTCTATTAACAGGAAATTTCCATCCTTGTACTCTTTTATTAATCTTAATCTGAGCACCATTCTTTATCAGCTATCAACCATATTTGGGTATGGTTTTAGTCATATTCCATACATTTTTTTTGTATTTTTTTCTGTACTTTTCTTATTCTTGCTAATTTTTAAATAGTGATTTCTCTATCTGCTTGCACTAAAGTGTCATGTAGGCAGTATTTTAAAGTTCCTAATTTGTAAGATTTTGGGGTAGACTTTTTGTTAAATTCTAGGATTTTTTTTTTAAATATTAAGGATAGTGTTAATGTCCAACATAGCTGTAATTTTTAAAAATTATTAAGATCTTTATATACCCAATACATTAGCCAATCTCAGTAATCCATGGACAGTTTATAAAAGTATATTTATTCTCTAATGGGAACAAAATTCCATCAAGATATGAAGTTAAGATTAATTTAAAACCTCTCTAAGTCTTTAATATTGCTTGAATGATTTATCTTCTTAAGTTTTCATCATCCCTCAACCTATCTGATGTACTACTCCCACATTAAACCTAGTAGAGAAGTTGGATGTGGTAATATGTACCTGTAGGCCTCACCTGAGCAACATAACAAAACCACACATGAAAAAATAAATTTTAAAAATGTTATCAGAATAAATGCTAGTTACTTGCTCAAACTTTTTAGTCATTATGTGATTTACTTTTAAAGTTCTTTACTTAAAAACAGTTTTTCTTTAGATTATGTTGTTTTCTTCCCTTAAAAATATAGAGCTCTAAATAAATTAGTGAGTATGCATAAGACACTAATCACTCTTTTTTTTTTTTTTTGGTGGAACTGAGGTTTTAACTCAGGGCTTCATGCTTGCAAAGCAAGCGCTCTAATGCTTGAACCACACCTCCAGTCCATTTTGCTCTGGTTATTTTGGAGATGGGGTCTTAGGAACTATTTGCCCAGGCTGGCCTTGAACCGTGATCCTCCTGATCTCAGATTCCCAAGTAGTGGATTACAGGTGTGAGCCACTGGCACATGGCAAGACACTCATTATTCTGATACTTCTATTGTTCTTTAGTCATGGAGGTCTTATCAATAATAAAGTGATATTTTCATTTAAAGCCATATTTGACTTTCACTTAAACCATTTAAAGGCCAAAATGACAATAAAAAATTGAAATTTAGGTTGAACTCTTGAGACTTAAAAAAAGGATATAAAATCTGGATGCCAATCTACATTTTTTTGTTAAAAAGATAACTAAATTCACACATGTCAAAGTCATTTTAAGTTATTATGAAGAATGAAAAGATTCCCATGTACTGAATGTTCAGTGCTTAACACAAGTGGAAAGTACAAGACAAAAATCACTTCTTAGCAAAGTAAGATCTTTCATTGAAGAGTTTTTCAGCAAACAGATTGCTACTCCTTAAGCACCAATTTCGGAAAAGGTTTTGTTGTAAAATTATGAAGGGGGAAGGGAAATTAATAAGACACTATTCATTGCCGACTGCTGTCTCAGTCATTCTGTGTTTCTAAATGGCCAAGTCCAAGTTCTTATTCACAACCCTCCATAACCTTGCCCCATACTCTCCCCATGTCCCACAAGTACACTCAACTCAGGTGGACCAGGCCCTTCAATGTCTCTGAAAATGCCAGGTTCATGCTTTCCTAAAAATCATCTTTTTCTTTTCTTTAACTTCTTTCCTCACTTTAATCCACATCCAAATTTAGCCCAAGGTCAAATCAAGTTCCATTTTCTCCATGCCATCTTCCTATACTACTTCAACTTTACTGATGAGCTTTCTTTAAAATCCTATTAGGCCTACTGTTTAAAACTATAAAATCTGGCTGTTAATGTTATTTCCTCTTTCCATATGGTCTTCAACTGCATAATATGCACATCTGTGAACAAGGCAGGTAACATAAAGGCATACAGTGCTGAGCACATGATTAAACATTTTGCATTATAGGAGGCGAAATAACAAGGAAATATTTGGATAAATACAGGAAGATAAGGGTAACAGAAACAAGGCATGAATATTTTGAGGAGAATACCTAGAAACACTATGAAATATTTCCCAGGTATACTTTTCATCAATTTTTAGATCCAACGAGGGGAAGAGACTGAAATAATTTTTTAAGCAGGCATGGCATCTCATGCCTGTTGTTCCAGCTATTGAAGAGGTTGCAGCAGGAGGATCACTTGAGCCCAGGAGTTCAAGGCCAGAGACAAAATACCCAGATCCCGTCTCAAAATAAATAAATAAATAAATAAATAATCCTATTGATTCACAGCCTAGATACTTCTTCACTAAGAATTTTAAATGTCCTTTGTATTTTTCTAAGCACAACTCTATTAGTAGCTATACTTGTCTCAATAATAAAGCATATGCAAATAAGGTAAGTTTTAAAATGTTTTTGTTATTAATATTAATTTTGTTAGTAATGTCTAACATTTAACACATAAATAGTACTTGCTACGTACCATGGACTATTTTATTTCACATATAATAATTCAATTCTTCAAACAATGGGATAGGTACTATTAATCTTGACTTGTAAATAGGACAGCTGAGGCACAGATAACATGCACAAGATCACAAACCTAGTAAGTACACCTAACTGATTAAGCTGGATCTTGAATTTAAATCCAAGATAGTCTGACACCAGATTAAGCTCTCCAATAAGAAAAATGACTGAATTGAATAAAACGATGTATGTCAAACTCAGTGATGGCCTCCAAAAATCTCTATTTCCTCATAGTCAACAAATCTGTACTTATAAATCATATTTTAGCATAATTACCTTTTTAAAAAATTAAAGATTCTGACACAATTTTCACACAGCAAATACAAAATAAATTTAAGCAAACCTTTAGTATGTTTCATATTATAACCTGATATTCGGGCGAGAACAGTCTGTATCCACTGTGCCAAGGTCAAGAGTTGAGCAAGAGCTTCTGCATTCTCACTGAATGAAACGACATTTAGAAATTATTAATACCATTGGTACAAAGTCGACCTGCAAAGCTGAATTTGCAGAGTCTTTCCTTGAATAAACAGCTATATAAAAATGTCAAATTCCTCTAGATTAACTTTTTAAGTCATGGAAATATGTCTAAAAATGTAGCTTTTGGGAAAGAAAGGGAATTTTACAAGGAATACAACACCATCCATATATCTATTATTCAGAAGTAATGAGTGCTAGTAAATGCAAATACTGTTTTAGCTGCTCAAATCAAAAACTAAATGTTACTATATTCTCTGATGTCCTCAAACATATCCCAAGTTGATTACTTCTTTCTACCTCTACCAATTACCCTAGTCCAAGTCACATTATCCCACACTTAAACTACTTATCCTAACTCTTCCTTTTCCATCTATTCCTTCTTTCATAATTAAGTATGAATTCAGTACACAGCACCCAGAGCTTCTAAAACTATAAACTGGATTTTATTACTTCCCTGTTCAAAATACTCCAATTTCTCCTTCCCCCGCTTTTTTTTGGTGAACGCTTGCAGTTCTACAGCTTGAGCCACACCTCCAGTCCAGTTTGCTGTGGTTATTTTGGAAATGGGCTCTCATGAACTATTTGCCTTGGCTGAACTGGAACCTTGATCCTTCCAATCTGTCTCCTAAGTAGCTAGCTAGGATTATAAGTGTAAGTCACCAGTGCCCAGCTTCCAATGGTTTTTCACTATATATGAAATTTAAATATTCAAACTTCTCATCTTAACTCGTAAGTCCTTTTATGATCTGGCTCTTTGTTACTCTACCACAGTCCTTCTTGTTGTACTTTGAACATGCCTCCAATAGCGTTCCTAACCTGGGACCTATGCTCTTGATGTTGTCTGTGCTTACAATTCTCTTTTTCCAGAGTGTAGCACTGCTTGTCTCTCACTTTTTTCAGGTCTCTCCAGAAGTCAACATCTCAGAGAGGAGCTCCCTAATAATTCTGTCTACATAGTGTCATGCACTAGTCTGTCTCTAATTCTTTACTCTGTTGCTTCAGTTTTTCTCAATGCTCAGCCCTTCCTACTTGTTTATTGCCAGCTTGTCCCTCATGGAATGTATATTTTGTAAGGACAAGGACTTGAACCAAGGAGACAAAAAACAGTATTATCAAAAAAGTTAATATAATAACATTCTGTTCATTGCAAAGACAATCTTGAGTGAAGTTAAAATATATAATGAATTGCATCAATTCTGCATATCTGGGCTCAAATTTGCCCTAAGAAATCTTTTTGGTTCTCTTTGAAAGTGTACTATCATTTAGTTATGACTTAAAAATACTAGCTTATTGATTCTGAATTTTTTATAATTTTTTAAAATCAAAATGTTAGTTTTGATAAAGTTTCTTTTTTTTTTTTTCAGTACTGGGGACTGGATTGAACTCAGGGCGTATGCATGCTAGGCGAGTATTCTATCGCTAAGCTACATCCCGAGCCCTTCTTTCATTTTTATTTTCAGACAGGATCTCGCTAAGTTGCTCAGACTGGCCTCAAACTTGCAATCCTCCTGCCTCAGACTCCCAAGTAGCTAGGATTACAGCTGTGTACCACCACATGGGCTTTGATAAAGTTTCTTATGTGCTTTTATTATCTTAGATTATGTTCAATGATTTTCTAAAAAACAAAAAGCCAAATATATCCAACTGCACAGGTAAGTTCAAGTGTCTAAAAAAATGTTAGGTATAATTAAATACTTCAGATCCCAACTAACAAAACTGTTACTATAGGTTAAGTGTCTAGGGGTCTAACAGAAATGGTAATAAAGATTAATTTTCTAACTTTAAAAACGACTACCTTGGTCTGGGCATGGTGGCTTACCCTGTAATCCCAGCTACTTGGGAGGCAGAGATCAGGAGGATCGAGGTTGGAGGCCAGCATGGGCAAACAGTTAATGAGAGTCCATCTTAATCAATAAACTAGGCAAAGTGGTACATACTTTTAATCCCAGCTATGTGGGAAGCAAAGGTAGGAGGATCATGGTCCAAGGCCAGTTCTAGGTAACAAACCCTAACTGAAAAAATAAACTAAAAGCAAAAGATCTGGAGGTGTGGCCAAAGTGGTAGAGTGCACAGGGCCCTGAGTTCAAACCACAATACCACTAAAACCACCACCACCACACCACCAAAACCAAACAGGACTGCCCTGAAGCATCCTATTAGAGGATATGAAGGAAGTAAGTTGCTGAGTGTTCCTTTAGAAGATAGCTTACATGTTTAATAATCTTTATTTTGGGGACCACAGTGTTGAAAAAAAAAAAAAAGACTTGTGTAAACTAACAAGAAGTTTGAAAGTGACTTAATTTTATTATACTGCGTTTATTTTATCTTTGTCTTCAGGTGCACAGTTAGGTTTAGATTTAGGCTTACGTGCATAGTCACACTTTAGAGCCTGGTCTGGGTTCAAATCCTAAGTCTCTTTTACTATCAGAGTGGCCCATCAACACCAGAGGATATCACAGAATGCTTTGAAGTCGGCCACTCACTTAACACCTACTCCTTTCTTTACTCAAGAATAAGCCGCACTCTAAACACAGCTAGGCCTGGGGCTGGTAGTTATACATGAGTAGCTCTTCAACTTAACAAGACAAGGTGAAGAACCTCCTCCAATCCACCTCCTGCTGCCACGATGTTCTACCCAGCGTTATCGGGTAAGCCACTATGGACTGAAAACTCTGAAACTATGAGACCAAATAAGTAACTCCTTCCCTTAAAAAACAACTCCTGTCTTGGGACAAGTAAAAATTACTCTTCTGTTCTTAGTGCCCAATTCATTATCTTTTTTTTTTTTTTTTGGTGGCACTGGGGTTTGAACTCAGGGCTTTCATGCGTGCTTGGCAGGCACTCTACCACTTGAACCACTCCATCAGCTCCCCCACAATTCATTATCTTTAAAGGGAAATAATAGTACCTATTTTAGTAGACTATTGTTGAGAATTAGGTAAGATAAGGTAGCAAATACATGTAGAACACCTATAACTTACTCAAAAAATGAAAGATAAATCTTTCTGATGCTACCTTCTTCCTATTGTAGGTACTGCTTCCCTCAGCTTCCAATGACCAACTGCAGTACTAAGGGCTATCACAGGAAAATTGTATCTTTTTATGCTATGCGTCTTTTCTTGCTATGTCCCAACATGCTGAAGAAGACAATTTACAAATTAGGTTTTCTATGACATGGAATAGAAGAAATAAAGCAACCATTTCTTAACCCTGTGTGCCAAATATATCACTTTTGAACACTTTTGTTATGGGGACATCTTTTTGTTAAGGTTTTTTGCTGTTGTTCTGTGGTGCTGGGGATTGAATTCAGGGCCTTGCACATGCTAGGAAAGCACCCTACCACTTTGAGTTACATCCCCAGACCAAAATGTAGCAGAAGGTAAGTTCATAATTACAACTCCAACAAGTTTTGAAGAAACTAAAGAACAATTTTAAATAGTACTGTTACCATCATGAACAACAGCAAGAATATAGGAAATTAATATAATTAAACAGCCTAGTTGTCATAGAAAACGAAGTTTTAAAGCTCTAAATGCTCACACACTATCCAAGGGTTCTACAACTTTAATGATGGATAGAAGATATATGCACAACATACTGATTTGAGTAAATGAACATCCTAGCTCTTTTAAGGACCAAAAATTAGGCTTTTAATCCCATTTTAAAGCATAGCACAAGTTCTGAAATGAAAAAGTATTAATTCCTTTAAAGTCTAAAAAAGAAATTAAAATCTAACAAAACAGGCACACTTTAAAGAATTAAGGGTAGGTTTTTAAAAATTAACCAAAACATAGGTTAAAATCTACCTGTTTATCTTCTGAGGTTGCAAAGGAATAATGGGGATCACAGTATTGCACAGAGACTTGCAAAGAGGGCAAAGATACTCTCCACTCTCCAAGTCAAAAAGGTCAACATGAATGCGCTGTTGAGAGCTCAGCTGTACAGCTTCAAAATACCTGAAAAATTCCAAAGACACTTAGAATGACATGTTTGTTTTATTTCAAATAAAAAGATCTGAAATTTTGGAAGCAATAAACATTTTTAGAACTGACATGCAAAAATATTTATAATTATAGAAGAAACAGCTTGTTCCATTCTTTTGAGGGCAAACTGGAAAATATATCACAGCAGCACAAATTGAAACTAAGTTTAGTGAATCATAACTTGTCTCCTACATTCATTGACAGCAGGTAGACACAATTGCAGGTACTGCTTCCCTCAGCTTCCAATAACCAACTGCAGTGATGAGGACTATCACAGGAAAACTGTATCTTTTTAATTCAATGCCAAGTAAGTCAACTCTAAACAAAGATTTCTCAGGAATTACATCTCTCAATTTTTATCTTTTCTTGAGATAAAAGTAGACCTTGTCCTATCTTAAAGGTACTTCTCACTGTACGTTCTGAGATTTCTATAAGGATTACCAGTTATCGAACATGAATATTGATGAATAATGTTAATACTGATTAATTTATGGAAAGCAGGCAAAACTCAGGGCCTTGCGCATGCTCAGCATGTGCTGGGGTGAGGGGGAGAGACACACCCCAGCCCCTGAATGTTTTAAGTCAGTAAGGTTGCTTATCAATTTCTAAGGCTTATAATAATTAGTATCATGCAAATAGAATTAATAATTAAAACTTCTTCAATTATTCCAATAAGAAGAAAGGAAAGAAGACATGAGAAAACATGCCTTTTTGTGGCCTGTAGTGAACTTCAGTGTTCCTAGTTTCTTTCAAGAACATGTCAGAGGGACAACTTACTTCTGCCAGCACACAGCATGCATTACATGACCACAGCTTCCTGTATAAGTTCCATATGCCAAGTCTGGATCCATAAAAAGTGGGTCCAAGGTTTCTGGTTCAGAAAGACAAAAAGTAAGAGGTATATATTCATCTCTACCAAAGTTATAAGCAGGGGACAGAAAAAGAAAGGTTATCAGGTCTATAATTCTAATCACAAAATTTCATTTCTTAGAAATATCCAAGTATCACAATATCATGATAATGGGATATATATTTTTAATAGTAAGAAAAAAAGAGGAGAGTTTAAAGCAAGACTACTAGGTATATTTAACTCAACTAGCAAAAACACTTTGTCTTTCTCATTATGCTTATGTCTTCTCTTCAACAAAATTAGAGATGAGGGCAAAACAGGTTCTGCCTGGAAGCGAAGGGGGGCTGGGGTAGGGTGGGGGCGGGGGGGAGGGGGGGAGAAATGACCCAAAGAATGTAGGCACATTTGAATAAATGAATAAAAAAAAGACTACTAGGTATGGTTTTAAAATTAGTATGGATTCATAACTACTTGATCCTTCATTTATATTGTAATTCTGAACATTAGGTTTAAGCTGCATTATCTGGATTATTAAGTGTTTTTTCTATGATTAAAGAATAATTTGCCTTTGTGTTGGAAGGCAAGTACTAGACCACTTGGGCCATTCCACCAGCAACAATTTTGTCTTTATAATTTTAAAGAGTAATGAATGACAATTTTAAGGGATATTGAAGGGCATTATAATCTAGGGGAAAAAAAAATCACAAGATGAGGATTTCAAATTCTGGTATTATCACATAGATCATGGCTATGGCAAGTTACTTAACTTCTCTGTGCCTCAGTTCCCTCATTTGTAAAATGGAGCCAACAGTGATGCCTAACTCACAGGGTTGTTATGAGGATTAAGTAAAATACACATAAAGAACTTAACCAATGAATGGCACCTGTTAAGTATTCAGTAACTTAGTTTTTATCATTATTTGAAGGACATTTAAAAAATAAAGCAGCACCTAGTGTGATGTAAGTAGTATAAATACATTACCTATTAGCATTCTTACCTAATAAATGTTGAACATTTATCTAATCAAGAGGCAACAATCAAATTCACAATGGGACACACTATACAAGGTAACTGGCCCGCATTCCTCAAATAAGTTATTGTGGAAAAAAAATGGCAAGGGATTATTCTAGATTAAAATAGACTAAAAGAAAATTAAAGTAATACATGAAACATGCTAAGATATTTTAAGAACAGTTGTGGAAGTACAGATTTTCTGTTAGATGATGTTCCTGAATTATTATTAATTCTCCCAAATGTGATAATGGTATGATAAATACCTAACACATTGTCCTTAGTTTTAGAAAATACATGCGAAATAGTTAGGGATGAAACATCATGAGGCCTCCAACCTGCTTTCAAATGGTTCAGCAAAATAAATATAAAATGAAACGAAAATAAAAATACAATAAAACCAGGGACAGACAGAAAGAGACTGAATGAGCAATGTGGCCAAGTGTTGACAAAAATTTAAATGAAAAAACAAAGAAGCCAACATAGAATGTAAAAACCTAGACTCTATTTTACATATGGGTACATGATTTGACCAAATACTACTAATACAACCTCACTCCCAAAGTTCTTTCAAAGAGCAATGACATAGGAAAAGAAATGGTCAAAAGGATACTTATTAAATAATACATACCCCCCGAGAGTTCTATGGGCTTTCCCCTATGCTGGGTTAAGGCAGTGGACTTCTGGACACAGGCTGAGAACACCATGGCATTACTTTCTATTTTCACCTCTTGTTCTTCTTGGCAGAGGATGCATGTCAGCACCTCCTTTTCTGTAATAGTTGGACCCCGTTTAGGACCCAAAACAATTCTACAGTAGTCACTGACTACAGGAGCGCTACCAAAAGAAAGTCAGAAATGAAGACACTTGTTTTTACATTCTGGTGCATTTTAAATAAATTTATTTACTTACTGTTTTTAAATAATAAAAATGGTATTTAGCAATATTAAAAGCAACTCCCCCTGAACTTTCTGGCTTTAATCAGTTCCTACTTTGTATTAACTAGAAAATTCAATTTACGCTAAGTTCAAAAAAGCAAATAAAAAGGATATATATTATATTTAATTTAGTATACTAATAAAACCTAAGTTGTTTCTTTTTTTTCTGAATATAAAAATACTTTTTACTTATTGAAGAAATTTTGGAAAATCTAGAAAAACATAAAATGAAAAGCATTACATACTTATAACCTAGACAAAACTACTAGTAACTGGTCTGTTTTTTATTTATAATATGTATTTTACATAAATAAGATTATGCTAAGTACACAGATTTATTCACTTAAATTTTGCTTTGTTCATTTATATCTTTGTTATTTTCTTATGTCATTAACATTCTTAAAAAAAATTTTTTTAAATGGCTGCCTGGTACACTTACTTTTACCCTTATCCATTCCCTCTCATAAGGCATTTAGGCTTCTATTTATATTCTGGTAGTTATTAAACTAAAAACACTTCAACCTTAATGATATAGCCATTCTTAGGTTCTACTGATGCGTGTAATAATCACATTTAAGTAATAGCAAATATTTTTAATGTGCTGAATGTTGTTGGTATCTAAGCACTGATTCAGGTAATTTATATTTTTTACTTAGTTCTTACAATAATCCTATGAAGTAGGCATTATAATTGCCCCCATTTTTCAGAGAACGAAACTGAGGCCCAAAGACACTAAGAGACATCACTACTGAGTAGCAGATATCAACCTACGTGATATGGCCATCTTCTGAACTACTCTGCAATACTGTGTTTAATAAGCTCCCTGAAATATGGTGATCGTTTAACAAACTAGAAATAACTCAAATGTTCATCAATGTGAAAGAAGTTATTATATTACAAAGTTTTTTAAAGGTACTTCTCAGCTAAGTGTGGCACCATATCCTTGGGGGCACTTGGCAATAAATTTGTGAGGGAACTTTACTTTCTGGTTTTCACAAGGACTAGTGGGTAAGGGATGCTAAGTGTCCCATAATCTGTGGGACAGTCCTGCATTAAAAAGAACTGCTGAGGTGGGCATCAGTGGCTCACGCCTGTAATCCTAGTTACTCAGGAGGCAGAGATCAGGAGGATTCGAAGTCAGCCCCAGGCAAATACCTTGAGAGACCTTGCCCTGAAAATACCCAACACAAAAAGGGCTGGCGGAGCGGCTCAGGAGGTAGAGTTGCATACCTAGCAAGCATGAGGCCCTAAGTACAAACCTGGGTACTGCACAAAAGTAAAAAATAAAATAAAAAAGGAATCGCTGGCTGTGATTTCACCTACTCAGGAAGTAGAGACTGGGAGGATTGCAGTTCGAAGATAGTAAGAGCAAAAGTTAGCAAATCCCCATTTCAATCAGTAAGCTGGGCATGGCAGTCCCAGTCTGTGGTCCCAGCTATTTGGGGAAGCCATAGGTAGGAGAATTGTGGTCCCAGTCCAGAACAAAGCTGTGAGACCCTACCTGAAAAATAACTTAAGAAAGAAGGGGGCTGGTGGGATGGTAGGGGCTGGTAGAGCACTTGCTTAGCAAGCATGAGGCCTTGAGTTCAAACCCCAGAAATGCCAAAAAGAACTGCTGCCCAAATGCTGAGGTTGAGAAACACGAATTTGTACTAAATACAAGTATTTAGTAATAGGTAAAAATTCTGATAAGCATACATAAGACTTATAGCCACAGAACCTTTGAAGAAGAACAGAAAGTGATCCAAGATTTGGGCAAGTACCCCAAAAGAAGCTTAGCTTTCTTTCTATTTGATTTTTTTTTTTAAGGAAAATGTATATACTATATCTATGTAATTAAAACTGTGACTCTGGGATAGGAAGGGCCTTAAATAAGGTACAAAAAGCTAAAACTCTAAAACACATAAATCTATCTTCAACAAGACTGAAAATTTCATTATGGCTAAACCTCATAATTAATGTAGATCAGTAAGATAACAGCAAAGCACTCAATAGAGACAGGCAAAGGATAAAAACAGGCAATTGGAGAAGATAAAGTACAAAGGTCACAGGACAATCAGAAGATGCTCATCCTCACATCATCAGTGATGAGGACAATTTTGTCAGATTTGAGCTGTCTGTGGTACAGGGGATTGAACCCAGAGCCTTATTCATTGTAAGCAAGCACTCTGCCACTTAGCTACATTTTAAATTTTGATAAGATATTTTCAAGCACTAAGAATAGTTACATAATAGTGAGAATGAAGTAAATAGGCATGCTCACAATACTGCTGTGAAAAGAAATTAGAAAAGCCACTTTGAAGGACAATGTGACCAAGTCTACTAAAATCTGACCAAGACCTTTCACCTGTTGGAGACAATTCTCGAGAATTACTTTCACAACTACACAAGGAGTCACATACAAAAATGCTCTGACAAGCTGTAATGAGGGAAGACGGGATGTAAACCCAATGCCCAAAATCAGATAAGCTATTGTAAATCCATTCAATGGCAGACTATGCAGCAGTCATAAAGAATGATGTAGAATCCATACTATATATCTAAGTGTAGTAACGGAAAATGATTTATAATATACTGAAAAAGCAAGCTGTAGAACAAAATGTACAATAAAAAAATAAGCTTAAAAAACTAAAAAGGACCTTTTACGAGGGCAGTACTGGGCTTTGAATTCAGCACAGTTTAGCATACTTTACTACTTGAGCCACCCCTCCAGCCCCTTTTGCTTTAGGTTATTTTCCAGATAGGGTTTCATAGTTTTTTATTTTCTGCACTGCTTGGTTTAACTCTGATCCTCCTACCTATGCCTCCCACATAGCTAGGATATAAACATGAACCACATCACCTGGCGTATTTGTTGAGTTGGGGGTCTTGCTAACTTTTTTTGTTGGGGCTGACATCAAACCATGATTCTCCTGATCTCTGCCTCCCAAATATTTGGGATTACAGACATGAGCTACTATGATCAACTGGTTGTTTTTTTTTTTCTTTTTTTCCTCTTTTTCCAGAAAGAATGAAATAGGAATAATCAAGTTGTTCTAAGTCTTGCTTATACAGAGATGGTAATCACCTATCACCTGAACTCCAATCATTTAATCTGCTCTCAAAAAGAAGGAATTTGTAAAGATTATCTCACCTGATGACCTATTATTTATGTACACACATTTATAAATGCATAGACAGAGATCTAGAACAATGGATACTTATAAGCATGGCTGTCTATAGATATTTGGAATATAGAAGATGGTTAAAGGGAACTTACTGCATTTTTGAATCGCTCTCAATGAGAACACATTAATAAATTACATATTCATCAAGTAGGCAATAAAAAGAAATAATGAAAGCATTAAGGCCATCAGTTAATTTTAATTACAACTTTGTTTACCTCTTCTTAATTTGATAGCCAGTAGTCTCTTTCTCATTTCTTAATAGCACATGGTTAATATGTAGTATTTAAGAACTGAGAGATCTGCTTGTTTAGTTCATACTTCTAGCCCTTTTTGCTCTGGTTATTTTGGAGATAGGGTCTTGGTTTTTGCCCAGGCCAGCCTGGACCACAATCTTCCTATTTTATGCTTCCCACCATGGCTGGGATGACAAGCATGCAACACTGTGCCCAGCTTTTTTCTGATGAGATGGAGTCTCCCAAATTTTTTGTGCCTAGGCTGGCCTGTAACCACAATCCTTAACGTCTCAGCCTCCCATATAGCAGAGATGACAGGTTCGTGCCACCATACCCATCTATTATTTAAGTTTTTTGAGTCAGGGTGTTGCTACAGTGAAGGTTGGCATCTAACTCAAGATCCTCATTCCTTAGTCTCCAGTGTGCTAGGATTACCGATGTCCACTCAAATCCTTGGATCTTTATAGTTTTAACTTAAAAGTCATTATTCTTTATGGTCTAGTTAGCATACTCAGCTTCCATATTACAAACATATTAGACAGAATACAATATTTACTGTTACTGTAAAAAAACAGTTTCCTAAAAATATCTAGAACGCACACTGTTGTCTTTTTGTTTTTTCTTTTTTGTTTGTTTGTCTGGAGACAGGGTCTTACTATGTTGCCCAAGCAGACCTTGAATTCACAATCCTCCTGCTTCAGCGTCCAAAGTTAAGGTATTACCATCCTGATCAGCTTCACGCCGTTTCAAATTAACAGTAAAGCTTGTTTTTTAAAATGGATGTAAGGGAATATTTTCAGTATTTGAAATTTCTTGGAATGTGTTGCATTGTGCTGTTATTTTGCCCACTTCCTCTGCTCGCTGTATTCACAAACAGCCAAAAAGGATAGCAAAAAAGGATAACCTAACAGCATGCTACATTCTAGGCTCAGAAAACCAAATTTATTGATTCTCATTTCAATGCGCTATCCATGACTATACCTATACATACTGTCTTATTTCTGTTTAAGAAAAAACGAAAAACTAGTATAAACTACTTTTTCAGGTGATGAATTGGTTTTCAATCTACAATAATTGTAGTTGTTTTTCTCAGAAATCATAAAAATGATCAAAATACATGAAGTAATACATAACTATGTATCTAAAAATGCCCATGAATATACAATAACAGGAGTTGCTTTCTATTTTTGCTATTCCCGCTTTTGTATTTACTGTTATTATAAAATACATTTGGAAAAGCATGATTTGAAGTAAATATATAATTTATTCTCCAGAAGTTGCAGGCGTTAATTCCTTTTCTTTTTGCAGTACTGGGGCTTGAACTCAGGGCTTTCACCTTGAGCCACTCCACCAGCCCTATTTTTGTGAAGGGTTTTTCGAGAGAGGATCTCACAAACTATTTGCCTGGGCTGGCTTTGAACCTTGATTCTCTTGATCTCTGCCTCCTGAGTAGCTGGGATTACAGGGAGCTGTTTTTTATTTTGCTTTCTTTTACCTGTCTTCCTCCATAATGGAGTCTTCTTTCCCAGGCATTTCTGATGTGTTATCATACATGAGTTTGTGAGTTTCAATGAAGTTTTTCTGTAAGGCAGACATCTGAGCCATGATCTTCTGGCGATGTAGCCTAGCAGCTTCAGCTTTTCGTTTTCGTTCTGCCTTTTCTTTATCATGAGTAATCTGAATATTTTTTAAAAAACCCACAAAATTAAGTAAGATACACTGTTAGAAATTCACATACAGGCTGAGTATCCCTTACCTGAAATGGTTGGAACGAGAGTTGTGATTTCTTGGATTTGAGAATATTTGCATGAATTTTACCAGCATTCCTAATCCAAAAGTCTGAAATCCAAAATGCTCCAAAATTTTAGAATTTTGGGTTAGAAATGCTCAACACTATTCAGTTGATGAAATGTCTTAGAATAAGATTTTAAAAACTCCTAAGGCCCAGATTTAATTTAATGTTTCAAAATCAGCATTAAAGATTCCATCATATCACACAACAAATTGCTCTTTTGATTAGTATAATAATTTACTATAAAAGGCCAAGTACCTTAATTATCCTTAAACTGCCTTTTATAATGAATGCATGTGCATTAAGAAACAAAATTAAATAGAACAAAATTTTAAAATCATTTTCCAATCAGTTAATCACTGACGGTTAAACATTTTAAACCAGCTTGATATTTAATACTCCTTATTTGCATTGCTACAAATTAGATATTAAACAATCTCAGTGTATTCAGTATTCCTTTATTTTCTATTCTAACTTAAGTCCAGTGTGTTTTCTCTTAGGAGGGACAGTTAATAACCTCAAGTTGTAATATTGTACTAATTTAGAAATCAAAGTAAGTAAAACCTGATTCAATATATTATGGAAATCGGTAATCTAAATATCGCTGCATTCCACTGAATCTAAGATGTACAATTATTTTATACTCCCCTAATAGATGAGTGATGTTGACTAAATTGAAATGCTACTGACTGTGAAACATATCCTGGTATTAGATCTTAAAATATTTTAAAAATTCATAAAATATGGTATTTCTAATAAGGGCTCTACTATTTACATTATTTCTTCTGCTTCTGTAAAACATAAATTGTTCTGAATAACTGTCAAGTGCCACTATACTTACAGTACAGAAGTATAAGGAATAATGATGTGAGGACAGGGGGATAAAGAAGAATGATGGAGGGGTAAATTCAACTATGATATATTATAAGAACTTTTGTAAATGTCACAATGTATCCCCAGTACAAAAATAATACAAAAAACTGAAAAATATTTTTTTAAAAAGAATTGTATATAAAGTCAATACCTTAAAAAAAAGGAATAAACAATGGACAGGTCTTGCATATTTTACAACAGGTTCCTCTAACAAAGAGAAATAACTCCCTGTTCAAGGATAGAGAAGGATTTTAGCATTGCTACAGTGATGTTACCTCATCATTCTTAATGGATTCCAATCCTGAAGTAGTTGCTACAATTAAACAAGATTTTTCTCTTAATCGCTTTACTGTGTCAAACATCTGTGAAAAATAGATGACATATTAAAAGATTTGGTTAGACTGACCGGCAGGACAAAAATTCACTAATCTGAGTTAATCATCATGCCTTTAAATGTCTTTGACTTCCACTATTTCAATACATGGAGAAAAAAATCACCATGACTACAACAAAAAAAGATTATTTGGTCAATGAGCAATCAGCTGAGTAGCAAAAGAGCTGATGTGGTTTGCTGCTATGAGCATGCCTGTTTGCTTCATAGAGATTTGTCAGGAAATAACTTTTTTTTTTTTTGATATGGGGTTTTGCCACATTTCCCATTGCCAACTCCTGAGCTCACATGATCTTTCTGCCTCAGACTTCTGAGTAACTGGGACTACTCAGCTTACTGGTACTGGTATTTCTTTCCAGGAAAAAAATTATCAGAATATAGTAGGTTCAAGGCTAGGGTGCAGCTCAGTGATAGAGTGTATGAGTAAGCATGTGTGAGGCCTAGGATTCAACCCCTAGCAGCAGTAACAACAACCATAAAAGTAGGTCCTCTGTATTTGTAGGTCCTATATCCATGGATTCAACCCATCATGATTTGAAATATTTAAAAATAAACTGCACATGTATTAAATACATATAGACTTCTTCCTTGCCATTATTCCCTAAACAATACAGTGGACTATCTACATAGCATTTACGTTGTATTAAGTGTATTTTAAGGAATCTTGAGATGATTTAAAGTATATAGCAGTAAGTGCACAAGTGATATACAAGTACTACACATTTCATGTAAGGGTCTTAAGCACCTTTGGATTTTGGTATCAGGTGTGGGGTAAGGTGTGGAAGGAAGGGCTTCCTGGAACCAATCCTTCATGGATACTGGGACAGCTGTATGTGCAGTCATGCCTCACTTAATTACAGGGATGTGTTTTCAGAAATGTGTCATTCAGTGATTTCATCATTGTACAAACTAAAATGGCTATCATATCACTATGAAATGTAATTTTATGGGATGACCGCTTTTTTGTGCTCCATCATTGCTAAAACACTGTTAGGGAGCACATGACTATGTATCTTTATATTTACTTACACTTTTATAACAGATTCTACTATGCATACTATTTCATACCCCAAAGGAATTGCCTTCCACCTACAAGTTCAAGGACCAAATCTAGGGGCCACTTTTGATTCTTTAATTTCCCTCATCCCTTCCATCAAATCTATCAGCAAGTACTATAGATTACCTTCAAATACAACTTTTTTTTTGGTGCGGGAGGTTTATACTGGGGTTTGAACTCAAAATATACCTAATCAGGCCAGTTTCACACCATCTGCATGTTAGTCTAAGTAATGGTCATTTTTTCACCAAGATTACTGCAAGAGTGTCAGAGTTCCCTGCTTTTACATCTAACCCCTGTAATCCTTATACTACGCAATAGACAATGTCATCTTGTACAGAGATCAGATAATGTAACTTTAAAAATCCAACAGTTTCATGATGGTCTCAAAATGAAATCTATCACTTCAGTTGGACCTATAAGGTCTATGGGATGGACCGTGGCTGACCCCCTGACCTTACTGCCTACTTTTCTTTCCCTTCCTTATTATGTTCTGGTTACTCTGGCCTCCTTGGCCACCTTGGAACTTTTACACTGCTGTTCCCTCTTCCTGGAGTACTCTTCCAGATTCTTTTAATACTGACTCCATGTCACTGAAATCTCAGCTTCAATGTACTTTCTCAAAGAGGCCTTCTCTGATTACCCAAACTAACCTTCTACTCTTCTACAGCATTATTCTAACATTTTCTTGTTTATTTTGTTACATAGTAAACACTGCTGTCTTATTCAAAGTCTAGAATTGAACATGGCACATGGATGGTACTCAGTATACCCATCAGTTGAAAAAATAGTAACAAAAGTGAATAAATCTTTCATCATTAAAAAAAATCCTTTAAAACACAGGAAAAATGGAATTACTAACATGAAAAAAATGTGTAATCATGATAATCAGCACTAAATTATTTTAAAATGAAGAATATAGTGGTTGCATTTTAGGGGCAAGTAGAAGTTTCTTTTTTGTTGAGGGACTGGGGTTTGAACTCAGGGTTTTGTGCTTGCAAAGCAGGTGGTCGGTCATAAAGCAGGTGCTCTACTGTTTGTGCTATACCTCCAGTAAATTTTGTTCTCGTTATTTTGAGGATGGAGGGGGAGGGTCTTACAAATTGTTTGCCTGGGCTGGCCTCAAACCATGATCCTCCTGATTTTAGCCTCCCAAGTAGCTAGGATTACAGCCATGAGTCACCAATGCCCAGCAAGTAGAGAATTCTTATACACAGTCACACGCAGGACAGTGACATTTCAGTCAATGATGGACAGAATATACAACAGTGGTCTCATAAGATTATAACAAGGCTGAAAAATAACTATCCCTAGTGATAGCATATAAAAATACAGCGCATACAATTATTTATAGTACATAATACTTGATAAGGACTTGAAAGGACTTCTTTTATTTTGCTTTTTTTCTCTCTCTCTTTTTTTTTAAATTTATATTCGTTTATTCACATGTGCATACATTGTTTGGGTCATTGCTCCCTCCTACCCCCTGCCCCCTCCCTTTTATTTTGCTTTCTTTTGGACACCACTGGGGTTTGAACTCAGGCCTACCTGCTTGCTAGGCAGGCACTACTTGAGCCACTCCACCAGTCCTTTTTTTGTGATGGGTTTTTTTGAGATAGAGTCTTGCAAACTATTTGCCTGGGCTGGCTTTGAACCACTACTCTCCTGATCTCTGCCTCCTGAGCAGCTAGGATTATAGGAGTGAATCACTGGGTACCTGACTTGAAAGAACTTCTTTATGTCCTTACTATACTATACTTAAAAAAAATTTATTTATTTGTGGTGCTGGGGATTGAACCCAGGGCCTCACACATGCTAAGCATTCACTCTACCACTAATCTGTACCCTGAGGCCCTATACAACACTTTCTATCATTATTTCAGAGTATGCTCTTTCTGCTTATTATAAAAGTTTACTGTAAAACACCACACCACATTATACTAGCAGCAATCCTGGGTGTTTACTGAGTCTCTTGATTGCATCAAGATACCATATCAAGTAATAAACCATCAAGGTTTGTATAAATACACTCTATGATGTTCACGTAATGATGAATCACTTAACGGTACATTTATTGGAATGTGACCTTGTCACTAAGTGACACGTGATTATTTAAACCAAGATTTGATTAGTTTACTTTTCTAATTTACCTGAAGTATCCATGTTATCATGTCCTTCTGGCCTTCTAACTGGGGAATTCCTTTGAGCTTTTCCAAAAGCATCTGTATATTCTGAGCATTCAAGGCTGAACTTCCCAATCCTTTTTTAAAACACAAAATTACATATAATAAAGAAGAATCCTCACAGTTATGTACAAATTATAATTTTTAGTTAATGTGTTTCACAGTGATATCACGGTTTGCTAATCATTCCCTTAACTATCCTAATTTTTCAATGGAAGAATCTGCCAATTATATGAAGTACTGAGTTACAAAATTACTAAATTAAAAAAATGCTAAATGAGCAAAATTTGAATTATCTCAAGTCTCTCTCCTATAACACCTACTGCACTGCTAATCTGTTTCACCTTTCCTCTACCTGGCTCACTTGACTAAGCAAACTTAATGAGAGAAAAAAGATAAAGGGCAAAAATATCAAAGCGGGATGTAATTATACATAAAGTTTATGATGCCTTTATGATGATCTAACAATATAGTGTATAAACACAACATGAGGTTTTTTTTTTTCTGCAACTATTGGTTTTATAATCAATGTCCCCTTGAAAAAACTGTCTTAACCAGGTAGCATTTCATAGAAATCAAATCTAAAAAATCCTGGTTTTCCAAACTGAAAATAGTATAAAATGAAACATTATTCAAACAGACTTTTCTCCAAGACATACAGACAATTACACAACAGCAGAAGAGGGTGCTCAAGCAGTAAAAAAAAAAAAAAAAAAATTAGGAGGGAATTTAGAACTGTATTAGTTTACTGGAAAATATCAGATAAAGTGCTTGCTTCAGCAACACATACACATACACTAAAATTGGAATGATGCACAAGGATGACATGCAAATTCATGCAGCATTCCATATTTTTAAATAAAAACAAGATTTTAAAAAATCAGTTAAAATCTAAATAGGGGGATGTAATGTAATTAAAGCACAATTACACATGTCTGAAATGACAAGGCAAAATCCCCTTAGCCTATCAATATACACTTGAAAAAAGTGAAGGACAGAAAACAACAGGTCCTTTTAGGGGGTGTGTACCAGTGAGAGGGCAAATATGGTGGATGTATTTTGTATTCATGTATGAAAATAGAATAATGAACCCTGTTGTAATTGTTCTAAGAAGGGGTGGAGGGATAAGGGAGAATGATGGAAGGCTGAATCTATTTAAGATATATTGTAATCACATATGTAAATATCACAATGTATCCCCCTGTAAAACTATTCTAATAAATAAATAAATATGCACTGGGCATAGTGACTCACACCTGTAATCCCAGCAATCAGAAGGCTGAGACAGGACGATTCCAAGTTTGAGACCAGCTTTAAGCTACCTAGTGAGACCCTGTCTTAAAAAACAAAACAACAAAAAACCCTCTTAACATACTAGGGAAATATGTAAATAATTTCAGAGTTTTCTAAGTTTTAAAGACTGGCAGACTAAAACTCAACTACAACTTAATAATTTGGTGGAACTGTGTTGAAAAATGAAACATGAACATACTTGAAGCCTTATGGTAAAAGTCAAATGTCACTTCTTCTTCGGGAGATTTTTGAAGTTGCTGCTTCTCTTCTAGTAAGCCCAGTGCCAGAATATGGAATGCCTGGAGGAAAGTAAGAGAGGATCTTCAAATTGCACTTCCTTAGGTAGGTATATTTTAAGTATTTTAACCTGATAGGTAAAAATTGGGTAAACCTTATAAATAAGTAGCTCATGGAGAGAGAAATGATGGACATATGAAAAATGTCCATGCTCACTTCGAATTAAAGAAATATGAGTTGAAACAAAATCATTTCATTTTTCACCTATTAGAGTGGCAAAATTTTAGAGCTTAGTAAAATGCAGAGCTAGCAAAATAAGAAGCAATCAGTTTTCACTGGACTGGTAATGAAAAAGTAAATGCTGTTATATTTTTGGAGGTCAATTTGACAGTGACAGTCAAAAATGTGAAGGTACAGACTAAATACTAAGAATTAATATTCAAATACACTTACATATGCAAACATATTTGTACAAAATGTTCATTTTAAGCCAGGTGTGGCACAGCACATCTGTAATCCCAGTTACTCAGGAGGCTGATGTGGGGAGAATCTCTTGAGCCCACAAGTTCAAGGCCCAGCTTGGGCAACATTAAGAGACCCCAGCTCAAACAAACAAAACAAAACAAAAAAGAACGTGTATTTCAATGTTCTTTGTTACAGCCAAGACATAAACATAACCTGCATACTATTAATAAGAGATGAGTCAAATGTACCAGAGAATACACATACAAAGGAATGCAGCAATCAAGAATAAGGCAGCCAGCACAGTGGCTCACTTTTGTAATCCTAGCTACTTGGAAGACAGAGATCAGGAAGTTTGTGGTTCAAGGCCAGTCCCAGAAAACATCAAGACCTCATCTCAGCCAAAAGAACTGGGCATGGTGATATATGCATATCATCCCAGCTGCACAGGTTGCATACATGGGAGGACAGCAGTCTAAGTTGTCCTGGACATAAAAGCAAGACCATATTTCAAAAGTAACTAAAATAAAAAGAGCTGGCATCAGGGCTGAAGTGGCAGAGCACCTACCTAGGAAGAGGGGCCTTGAATCAAACTTCAGTACTTAAAAAAAAGAAGAGGTAGACCTAAATATGCTAATATTGGAATGTAAGGCATTAGGAGACATGGAGAGAAGTTTCAACTTGAGTTCAAATACATTTCTGTGGGCCAGTGGAGTGGTTCCATCCCTACCTAGCAAATATGAGCCCCTGAGTTCAAACCCCACTACTGCAAATATACCTCTATGGTATAAAATTTAATACTGCAAATATTTTTCATTGTTATAACCAAAACTGAAATATAAATACAGTATGACAGTATTAACAAGCTACAAACTAACAATAACCAGGGTAAAAAGAATATTTTGTTAGGTGGGTACTAAATAAATAACCAGTTACAGCTACTACAAAGGGTCATTAATTCATCTATACTGGTATCAAGAAAAAAATAGTTACTTCCACTTGAGATAACTGTTATAACAACTTCATGAAATAATTATAGTTATTTTGCTAATGAGAAAATCATTACGCTACTAGAAATGGGAACTGGGGAGGGAAGCCATGATTTTAGTTTAGACCTGTTTGTCTTTAAATCTTTATTACACTGTCACATTCCAAAACAAGTGAAATAAAAAAATTTTTCAATGGTGATGTAATTGTGACATGCTAGTTTGTTACCAGCAATGAATAGCCTTTTAACTAAATGCTTCCCAACAGTAGTGATGTTAACAACATGAGAATGTACCACTAAGGAAATCTGGTAAACTACTTTAATGACCTCTAGGTGTCAAGTGCTCCAGATGTGGTTCTGACTGAAGTTAAGCCAGGGATCTTTTCCAGATTCTCAAAGAACTCTAGGATCTGACATAGAAAGTATTTCAGGCAAACATACCATTTGGAGCATCCCTTCCGTCCACAAGTTAGAATCTGTATCTACTGCTCGCTCAAATATGGTTCTGAGAATGTACATCATAATATCACAGTTGAGAAGGTTAACTACTTTGCTGAAAGCAGGACAGAACTCAGGAGGTGATGGTGGGGGCAATGCTATAGAGGATGGGGAATAAATGGAAAAAGAGACAAGTACATTTTTACTTGGGTTATGCTACATACTAAATTGCAAATATCAAATATAATTGATGTATAAAATAACACATGATTTTTCTAACTTCAGAGCACTGAAAATATAAATGTGAAGGAAATGTAAGTAATTATGCCAATCTCCCAAAATAAATTCTACTTGTTAACAATTCAAAATTCTATCATCATTCATGCTGGCTACGTCTTAAAATATGAACAAAAAGAAAAAGGCTCTGTAGTTTTGGCTATCCACTCCCCCAAACCAACAAAAACATCCACGAAAAATAGTTCAGAATCTCACTTTTTTACCTTCATCTTTATTTTCTTGTTTTCTCCTTTTTTTCTGCATATGCTCAGCCTATTTAAAAAAAAAACTATCATTAAATATAATATATAGAAAGCACTAAACAAATAGAATTCCTATTTGAAAGTAGACAGGAAGCTCCAACCACCTACTAAAATACTTTATATACTGATTTTTTTATTTTTTTGGTGACCTTTAAAATATATTAAAATTGGGCTGGTGGAATGGCTCAAGGGGTAGAGCATCTGCCTAGCAAGCATGAGGTCCTGAGTTCAAACCCCAGTACTGCCAAGATAATAAATAAATAAATGAATAAATAGACAGATAGATAGATAAATGAATGAATGAATGAATGCTGCCTTGTCCTAGAAACCAAACAGCTGTCTTAAGAAAGGTTACTGCAAGACAGATGAGGAACGTTCCTAATCGAGAACTTTATTCTTTTCACTCAAAAATATTTCCCTAGTTCCTGTTCTATATAGGTAACTATGTAATGGTATAAATTGTTCTTTTTTTTTTTTTGGTGGCACTGGACAGGAACTCAGGGCCTCAGGCTTGCTAGGTAGGTGCTCTACCACTTGAGCCACTTTACCAACCCTTTTTTGTGAAGGGTTTTTTTTTGAGATACAGTCTCATGAACTTTTTGCCTGGACTGGCTTCAAACTGGGATCTTCCTGATCTATGCCTCCTGAGTAGCTAGGAGTATACGTGTGAGCCACTGGCACTCAGCTACTCATCTTTTTTTGTTTTTAAATAATAAATTTAGTTTTTAAAGAAGTTCTATAGCAAAATTGAGACACAGAATTCTGGTGTTAGTCAAGACTTCGTTGCTGTGAGAAAATATCTGACAAGACAACCTAAAGTAAGAAACTATTTTAGCTCAGTTTTGGAGTTTTCAGTCCATCCTGGTGGGGAGGGCCTGGTGGATAAGAGCAGCTCACATTACGTTGGCGAGGAACCAGAGAGAAAGAAAGCCTTTGCTGGCCTTTTCTTTCCTTTATTTGTAAATTATTCACCTTAACTAATGATCAAACTTAATGTCACCCCCTTCATGGGACCAAGAAACACTAGGTACCTGCATGTGATGCTATATATCAACTATGTAGTATTCTTGCCAAAAAAACTGTTTAACTTGAATCTCATTATAAGAAAACAATTAGTGTGATGCAGGACATAGGATATTCTAAAAGACAACTACCTTATACTCTGTAGAACAGCCAATGTTATGAAAGACTTAAAAAAGCAAAGGACTGGCTGGTGGAGTGGCTCAAGGGGTAGAGCGCCTGCCTAGCAAGCGTGAGGCCCTGAGTTCAAAGGCCAGTACCACCAAAAACCAAACCAAACCAAACAAAAAAAAAGCAAAGGACTTATCCCAGATTAAAGGGGGCTAAATGAAGTACGTGGTAATGAAATGCATTACTTTATCAGATCCTTCTTATCTAAGACAGTTATAAAGGATATTTCTGGCATAATCAGGAAAATCTAAATACTGTTTGTATACTAGATTACTGATTCAATTTAATGTTTTTTTGGGTGAGCTAACACCCTCTATAAACAGTAACATCATGAAACTACAGAAGAATCCAGGACTTTTCTGTGGATTTAGACGATATAAAGGATTTTAGGTTTATTTACTGAAGTGGATACTTTTTCTTACCTTGCTGTGCTGTGTTTTGGAGTAATGATAAAAGTACATATTAAAGTCTTTCAAAGATTCATCTTTTAGTTCATAAACTCCATGGCCTGATATACCTGGTCGCCTAAATATTGGAAAATACAAAAGTGAACTACAGAGTTCTTGCAGTATAGAAAATAGACAAAATAAGAATCTAAAAACTAACATAAACATAAAATTTAGAATATATAAAAAAACTGTATCTTACTCAGCTTTTAAAAACTGGAATAAATTTCATTCCCATGGAAAAACTAAAACCCTGCACTGTGAACACAAAGTCCTGACAACAGTTAAGCTGTACTTTATAGTTTTTAAATTCATGCAAAATCTGGGGAAGTTTGTGTAGTACTATCTAGGTCTGATCCCAAGTCCTACTTAAAATTCCTCAGACTTTTTTTTTTTAAATAACTTCGGAACCTGAAGATTGCCTGTTAAACTGCAGCACACTACATGTGTCATTAGCAAATTAGAGATGAAAATATAGTCTTGAATCCTTTATATAGTACTGTAAAGAAAAGCAGAACACCATATTTGCTCTGAACATTAAATAGCTTTGGGTTTCAGTCTAACTCTAAGTCAAATGTGTCCCTCAACATTATGACAAAATAAGAAAAGCCACATCCTATTTTATAAGTTATTTGAAACCAGTGATTTTTCTATAAATGCAATACTCTAATAAGTAATAGAAATTCATTACTGGTATTAATTTGTCAAATTTTAATAATGCAATTAACATCTTATTTTCATTTTACATACTTCAAAGAATGAAAGAATTATAAAATACTGTTTAACTTTATTAGAGAAAAATCTAAACTTAATATATTAAAGTAAAAATTTATGAAACAGTAAAGCCATAACTTTGAATTAGCAGGAAAAAGGTATCAGGAAGATTTATTAACTTACTATCAAAATCACTTAATGCCACAAATGTGTGTTTCTAGTTTACCTGCCCCCGAACCTCATTTTTTTCAGCAAACATGAACTCTAATGCTTACTGTGTGTCCCCCCATTCTTACCCCTTCTAATCTGAACTCCGTTCTTATTCTTGGGAGTTCTGGCAAGAACTTCAGAGCTTCCACAAAGAATCCAAAGTGTGAAAATAAAGATCAGTCTACCTCTTAGAATAAACACAAATAGAAAGCACTTACTTAAAGGTGGCCACTTTGTTTATGACATTCTCTAAGCCAGTTTCATTATTTTCCTGTTGAAACAATATTTTTGTCATTTTTACCTTCATATAATGACTTTCTTTTCTCTTACTGGGAAATGAAATACATTTGCACTGCATTTCTGAAGTACTTTGTAAACAATAAATAAAAAGATCAATTTTCAGTATAAACAAATTATACATGAAACCAATTAGGCTCATTTTTGGTGACCAATTTCTTCAGAGATAAAGGTCTATGTGTCAACTACATAAGAAAGAAAGTTTGCCTTCATCTCTCTCTCTCTCTCTCTCTCTCTCTCTCTCTCTCTCACACACACACACACACACACACACACAGCTTTTCTCCTCTTTCCCTCCTTTTCTTTCTGTGCTGGGATTGAACCTGGCACATGGTAAGCAAGTGCTGCTTTATCCCCAACCCCTAAAATGCTTTTTCTTTTCTTTTTTTTGAGCTGGGGAGAAGCAGTATTGGGGTTTGAACTCGTTTGAGATAGGCCAGGGCTGGCCTCAAACTACAATCCTCCTGGTATCTGCCAACCAAGTAGCTAGGATTACAAGCCACTGATGCCTGGCCTAAAAAGCTTTTGTTTATGTAGATAGCTACATAAAAAATAAAGAAATTTAAAAAAAATAAATTTAACCTTTCTTTTTAAAACATTATTTATTCACTGAGTTTTTTTTAACAGATAAGATCTCACTCTGTTGTCCAGGGTAGCCTCAAACTCCGGGGCTCAAGAGATCCTCCTGCCTCAGCACCTCCAAATAGTTGGGACTACACTATAGGCACCTAACATACCCACTTAACCTCCTTTAAAAAAAATGTACTTGAGGGTTAGTAGCAAAGAGAATGCCTTAAAGAACTTTATTAGGGGAAGGGGGAACGAAGTACAGTATGCATATTACCAATCATATGTTAAATTAGTTTTGAATACTTATTTTTAATATGTATTAAGAAAGTAAGATCTAGAACATCAAAACTACTATTTCATAGATACTCCTGCCTAGAAATATGCTAACGAAAATTGTAAACTGGTAATTAAAATACATTCATTATAAAATTAGAAGATGAATATTCAAAGATTAAGAAGGTGATGTACCAAAAGCCCAGTCTAAGTATCAATATAACTGGGAAAAGGATAAAAATAATTTGGGGTAGAAAGGAACAAAATGACCCGTAGTCAAAGCTTATACCTATTCTAACTCTCTGGAAAGCTTTGATAGGACAGATAATTACATTTTACTTTTAAGAATCACTACTTTAGACTGGGGGCAAAGTTCAAGTTGTAGAGTGTCTGCCTAGCACCTCAAAAAAAAAAAAAACCCAAGAAAATAAATATCATTGTTCTAATTCATATTCAAATCTCATGGAGAAAAAATATGAGAATCACAATTTTAGGACTACTACATCAATATCTATGAGTACAAAAACACAAAAACCACCTGTGGTGGCCATTGAAATGTACCTTGCAGACCTCCCACGAGAGGAGGCATAAATGATTACATGCCTCTACTGTTGTGTCCTGGTTATACCAAAGCCAAACTTCTTAACAGATGCTTCCAGACATTGAGCAAGGCAAAGACACTAATGCAGGCTTCTTTTGGAAGACATGAGAAGGCACCCAAACCCAACCATCTAGGATGTTGCTTTTTTCATTCATTCATTTTTTCTTTTTTATTTTTTAAAGACAGGGTCTCGGTATGTAGCCCAGACTAGCCCGGAACTTGAGATCTTGCCTTAGCCTCCCAAGTGCTGTAGTTACAGGCACATGCCACGAACCTAGCTTCTTCTTCTCTCTTTTTAAATTAACATACAATAGTTGTACATATTTATACAATAATTTAATATATGCATACAATGTATAATAATCAAATCAGGGTAATCAGAATTTCCATCTCCTTAAATACTTATCAATTCTGTTTTAGGAACCTTTGGACTCTCTTTTTTCTAGTTAATTTGAAATATACCATAAATTGTTGTAGAGGGTATTTATTGTGCTATACAATATAAGAGAACTGATTCCTGCTACCTACCTTTAGTTTGGTGCCCATTAACTAACTTCTATCTATCCAGCTCTGACCTAGTTTTCTTAGTAGTCTCTAGTGACCACTACTCTATTTTCTCCTTCTATGAAATCAACTACTTTACAGGGTGCTTTTATTTAACCTTCCTTCCCCACTTCACAACAAGACTTGCATAATACTCTGAAGGCTCCCCGTTCCCCTATCACTTTCTCTAATAAGATTTTCATGTTTGTCTTCAGATCTACTTCTCAGAAGACCCAGATTAATATGCCACTCCAATAGCCTCAGTGTTTCAGCGAATCCCTTTTTCCGAAATCTTAGTTTAAAACAAACAAAGTCAAGATTTTCCCAGAATTTTATACCAGTGAAGACTGAATGGTAATGGGTTTACATCCGTAAGGTGAAAATATAGGCCATTTGCTAAGCAAATTTTCCTGAAATTTGAAGTCACTTCCAATTAAAGGAAAAAGAAAAAAAAAAAACTATCTCAATCATGAGATGAAGGGAGAGGGAAAAAAAAAAACCAGACTTACATTCTCAGGTAAATTTTTGGCAATGGCACTGTGTGGCATGGGTTCAATGCAAAGCAAGTGAGTAATTTCTCTCATTGTGACTTCTTCTTTAGTCACATTTCCTACTCCAGGAACGTAACGCTCTCCTAATATACAATGAAAAGAAAAAGTAGAATAATTAATTGCTTTCTATTTAAATCCCTCTCCACCAAGTGTACTTCTATAGAGCATTTCATTAACTTAAAATGATATGTGAATGAGCAGTGACCAATGCTTCTTTCCAATGCTTTCTTTTAAGATCTTCCTCAGTTTTGTCTCTTTTTATTTAAGAAAGAACTTTGTGAGAAATGACGCAAACAATGTATGCACATGAGAATAAATGAATTAAAAAAAAAAAAAAAAAAAAAAGAACAAGCCAGGTATGGTGGGAGACACCTTAAATCCTAACACTTGGGAGGCTAAGGCAGGACAATCGTGAATTTGAGGCCAGCCTGGGCTACTTAGTAAGACCCTGTCTCAAAAAAAGAAAACTAAAACCAAAAACAAAATGAAAACTGAAAAGTAAAATACTTAAAAATCTTTGTGGGTTAGATGACAAAAGAGTATTATGTATCAAGAATGACTGGTCTTGCAAAAAGTGCCCAAATAGGTTTCCTTTATGATTTTTAAATCTTTTGTTTTATTATTATAATTATTATTATGCTAGAGACAGAACCCAGAGCCTTGCACATGCTAGGTAGTACTCTACCGCTGAGTCACATCCCCTACCCCAGGTTTCCAATACCATTGTAAAGAAACTGCCAAGTGCAGAGAACAAATAGCTAAATCAACTACAGAAATGTCACTGGTGTCAATAGCATCTAAATCCCACCACTTGAAGAAGACTTAAAACAGTCGGCCTATGTCACCATTGATTTTCAGCACTACAAGATCTGTATAAAGATCTATGGTAGTTCTAAGAGAATTACAAAGAAAGAAATCCTTTTACTAAGATATTTAATAAATTCTACATGTTTGCCAAAGAATGACTTTTTATTAAGTGTATTTATTACCAAAGACTCATTCATTTTTACAATTGTAAAGCACTTTGTAATTTTCACATTTTTTTTTTGCCAGAGTATCCCCTAAAGTTATAGCACTAACAGCAACCTTAGAGATCATGCCAATGTCTTTCACAGTTCACAAATAAGGAATTTAAGACTCAAAGACTATAAATGGTATACACTTGAGAGGTGATAGCAAGGCCAGGACTAGATCCTCAGATTCCTAATCCAAGTATTTTTCTACTTAATATTTGTCCCATAATAAAATCAGAGATGATAATTTTGTAAAATAAACATGTTGATTCCTCAAAGTAATGAACTTATACACCAAGTATTAACTAAAAACCAAATCACATAGAAGGAAACTTCCAATAAAAATCAGGGAAACACAACAATAAAATAATAGCAAATAACAAAACAGGAAAAAAATAAAACATTAGCTGGGCATGATGGCACACACCTGTCATCCCAGCTACTCGGGAAGCAGAGGCAGGAAGATTGAGCCAGCCTGAGCGAAGTTAGCAAGTCTCTATCGCAAACACAACAGAGTAACGAAAACAGTTGGGGGCATAGCTCAAGTGGTAGAGTGATTCCCTAGAACCCCAAGGCCCAGGGTTCAATCCCAGTATCAGAAAAAAGAAAGTTAAAAATATAGCACAATATTAGAAAATTTCCATATAGCTCCATGAACAAACACAAAATTTCCTCTAAGGTTCCATAATTTGTTAAAGTATATAACCAACTTCAAAATCTTACATGCTTTTTAAATTTTCCCTTTTTTTAAAAGTTTTAGCAAGAATTTATTTTCATATAACAGGATAAAGTAGGGAAAGTGGGGGGAAAACCAAGCAGAGAAACATTCCCTGGTCCCCAAGCAGGAAATGGGAGTAAAGACTCCTTAATTTGCCTTTCCCTCCCCGCCTCCATTCTTTTCTTACTAGAATATTCTAGACAAGAGTTTGCAGTATGGAAGATCTACCTCTTATTTAGAAATAAACACTTTTTATACTCCTTGGCTCTCTGCAAGTGACTTCTAATTTGAAAGAATAAAGTAATATGATTTCATGAATTCAAAACAGTAAAGAGTTACTTCATAAACTAGCACTTCAAGTATTAAAAAAATAGATGTTACAAAATATCATGAGACAAGCAGCTAGTCTAGCAATTAGTTCTCTCTGACAAACAAGTAACTGGTAGAGTCCTCATTAGGAACTCTTAAAATAAAACATTATCTGGTACAGCAAACTAAATAAAAGCCAGACTGAGAAGTCAAGAACAAGATGATGGCCAAAGAATGCCCTATTGGTAAAATCAGCAGACTATGATATTGTGCATATTTGTATTTGATTATGTAAGGAATACTTATATTAATTACAGTTGAATAGAAAACATTTCTGAAAGTTAATACCGTAACAACTCAATCAACATTTTAGCTGACAAAGAACATTCTTTTTTCTTTCCCTAAACTTAATGAAGCTAAGACTGGCCCGATATTTGCATACAATAATTTAACAGAATGACATAATGGAAACATATTCTAGTTAGAGCTATGCTATGTTTAAATTTCATATACATATATAATTTTTAGCAATAAATGAGGTTTTTTTAAAAAAAATATATATACATTTCTAGCTGGGATAATTATATCCTAGTTCTCCAAAGTTCAAACAATTTCAAATTAGGTATTAAAAAAATAAGGATGTTAATTAAAAATAAGTAGCAGAGCATTTGCTGAGCATGTGCCAAGGCCTTGGCTGTGACGCCAAGCACCTCAAAGAAAAAAAAGGAGGGAAGGGATCTGTGCCTTTTTTTTTTTTTCCCCTGTGAGGTGGATGAGGCCTCGAACCCTGGACCTCCTGACCGCTAGGCCGATGCTCTAAGACTTGAGCCGCCCTGCCAGCCATCTGTGCTTTTTAAAAGATGAGTTTCTACATATCAATCACATCTCTTAACCAATATTCTACACGGTATTTTGAATATAGTAAAACATCATTCTCTAAAAAGTAACCTGCATTCCTTTTCCAAACATTCTGTCTTAATCTTACCCACAATATAGATGAGGACCTGAAGCATTTCTTCTATTAAGGTATTATATTGTTTAATCAAATCCTATAAAAATAAAAAAAGATAGATTAGTTAATAAAAATTAAAAACCTCCATAAAACCTGCATTTCTGAATTAGACTCATGATCTGTCCAGTCTAGTATTTGCTCAGAGCACAGCAATAGGTAGTTAGAGGTTAATAGTTCTCTTTTCTGACATCAAATGCAACAAATTTCACAATATTGGGCAGATAATAAGCATTTAATAACAACTGCTAAAATGCTATCATTGTTTTCATTATCATTATTTCCATATCATTGTTTTTCCTTAGTCAATAAACTAATTCTAGTCTTTAATCCTTTCTCTAACATTGGCATCTTTCTCACTGAGAAATGGCTTCAAGCAGATATTTAAGTTACAGTGAGACTAGCCTTCCTAAAATGTCCCCTATATAAGCATTGTATCAAATCAAATATTTTCACTAAGTATAAAATGAGATTAAAAATTGAGTTTAAATTTTATATCCTACTCTTTGGCTCTTTGCAAGTGACTTCTAATATGAAAGAATAAAGTAATGTGATTTCATGAATTCAAAACAGTAAAGAGTTACTTCATAAACTAGCACTTCAAGTATTAAAAAAATAGATCTTACAAAAAACCATGAGACAAATCACAAATTATGAAAATACAGTAAATAAAGGGTTAATAGTCTTTACTAAGCAAACAGCTATCTATAAAAACAGGAAAAGGGTCAAAGACAGGAACTAATAATTCACTGCCCCTCCCCAAGGCTAATAATAATGAAAACAGTCAATTCTACCGATAATTAAAGAATTGAAAGTTAAAATGAAACACCACCTTTCACCTATCATATCAACAAGGATTAAAAATATTACATATTATTAGAAATGTACATACAGAGAGTTTACATACAAATAAATGCTTTTTTTGTTGTAGGTGGTACCAGGTTTTAAACTCAGGGTCTCACACTTGCTAGGCAGGCACACTACTGCTTGAGCCCAGCCCTTCCCCTTTTTGTTTTACATATTTTTCAAATAGGGTCACACCCAGGTGTTTGCTTGGGCTGACCTGGACTATGATCCTCCTATTTACGCTTCCTGTGTGGCTGGGATGACAGACTATTGGTTGAGCTAGAGGTCTCACTAACTTCTTTCCTGGGCTGGTATTGAACCACGATCTTTCAGATCTCTTATCTCCTGAGTAACTGGGATTACAATTACTGGGTCTGGCTATAAATAAAATTTCTAAGGCTAATTTGTTAGTACATATTAAGAGCCTTAAGAAAGAGGCTGCTTTGCAGCACTCAAGGAGTGGAGGAAGGAGGATCTAAAGTTTGAGACCATTCTAATCTACTCTGGGAGATCCAGGTCAGCAAGGGATACGTAGCGAGATCTTGTCTCTTAAAAAAAAAAAAAAAGAAAGAAATGAAAATTAAAAAAAGCCAGGCACTGGTGGCTCACCTGCTACTTGGGAGGCTGAGACTAGGAGGATCATAGTTCAAGGCCAGCCTGGGCAAATAGTTTGAGAGAGACCATCTTAAAAAAAAAACCATAAAAACAACAAAACTCACAGCAAAATGGACTGGAGGTATAGTGCAGGCAGAAGAGCATCTGCTTTGTAAGTGTGAAGCCCTGAGTTCAAACTCCAGTCCCACCAAACAAACAAACAAAAGAAAAGCTGTTTCATTTATCCAATTCACTTCTGATAATTTATCTTAACAATAATGAGACAAGTGTTTAATCACTGTGGTTCAGATGTCTGTAAGATCAAAAAACTAGAAAAAAACCCTCGTCAGCAATACGAAGCAAAAGTACAATACCTTTAAAAATGATAATATACAATGAAACAGCTGTATATTTACTCAGTGACCAAAAACTATCATAGTATTTTAAGCACAGGCAGAAAATTACATAACAGCACACACAGAATGAGGTAATTATTGCTTTAAAAACAAAACAAACAAGACACCAACTATTTTCTGGAGGTAATGTTGCATCGGATGAGGAGAGAGAGAGAATGAATGAATATGCATGTGTGGGTATATTTTTGAAAGTATACTTTTCTCTTTCTCTTATTATGGGGAGGATTAATCCAAGACAACCCCAACCAGGATACTAAACACCAAACACTGAAGTCCCTTATATAAAGTGGTGTCATATTAGCATATAGCCTATATGCCATCCTGTGTATTTTAAACCATCTCTAAGCTGGGTGCCAGCAACTCACACCTGTAATCAGGAGGATACTTTGAGGTCAGCTCAGGCAAATAGTTCACCAGACCCAATCTCCAAAATGGATTAGAGGTATGACTCAAGCAGTAGAGCACCTGCTTTGCAAGTGTGAAGCCGAGTTGTGACCAATAAATAAATAAATAAATCTTTAGATTACTTTAATACCTAATAAAATGTAAATGCTATACTTCTTATTCTGTATTGTTTTAGGGAAAAGGGAGGAAAGTCTATACATTAGTACAAATACAAATATTTTTAAATATATATATATTTGACACCTAGTAAGTTGAATCTGTAGATACAGAAGGTCAACTGTACAAACTTTTAAAATCATTAACATTTCCTTTGGGATTAATTCACATGTCAGTTTCTGTTGCTTACCTGGTCTTTTGTCGATATAGTCTTGTTAAAAGCATCAGTAAGTTCATACCTTTGAAGTACCAGTAACAAGAACTTGTTAGGATCCATTAAAGATGCTCCAATCTGTGAAAGAAATCCAGCATGACACTTCCTGTGTATTAAGTGGAGAAATACTTTTATGGGGCAACAGTGCTGGGATTTGAACTTGGGGCCTTGAACTCCATAGGTAAGGCTCTACTACTCGTGCCACATCCCCAGCCCAAGTGGAGAAACACTGTGTCTTTAGTGGTACTATTAGAAAATTATAAAGTTTGCAAAGATAACGTTTTACTTTCCCTTTCTATTTCAGTTAATGGTAAGAAAAATTCAAGGGAACTTAACAAGAAGGAATTGAAGGTAAAAATATGAAAAGTAACTGAAACAGGTACCTGAAGCATGATGATATCTTTATCATACATTTCTTCTCTGCATTTAACATCTTGATAATAAAATACCTACAAAATAAAAGGTAGATAAATACCTATAAAATGTAGATAGATGCCAAAAGAAATTATTTCAAACAAAATTCTAAACAAAACCTTTTCTGAAAACTATCAGGGCTGGAGGCAGGGCTCACGTGGTAGAACAATTGCCTAGCAAGTACAAGGCCCTGAGTTCAAACCCCAGTACTGTAAAACAAAACAAACAAACAAATAAACACTCTAAAAATTAAATAAAACCTATGTGAATGAAATTAAACCAATTTCCACTTTTTATCATAACATCATTTTTCTTCTAAGTGTTACCTTTACAAATCCTATTTCTCTACCTTTTAGGAAAAGTACTTTTCCCTTGCTCTGATATAGAAGAAAAAAGTGTAAGGTAGCCTTGTTTTGGGCTTTGTGTTGCTGGAGATCAAACTTAGGGGTTCATACACACATGCTAGACAAGGGCTTTACCACTGAACTTAAAGGTACCCTTTATTAAGACAGACGGTAAGAACCCTCAAAAAAGAGCTATGTTAGTGGGGAGATTTCTGTGGTACTACTGGCTTTCATATAATCTGTCTACTCAAGTACTATAGTTTCTCATAACTCAGACAGAATATCAGAACTGGCAACACAGCTCAATGATTTAGTTTGCCTAACATCCACAAGGTCCTGGGGTCAATCCCCAGTACCATGAAAAAAAGATAGGATAATCAGTAAATAGGATAAAAGGAAAAACATATATATGATCCCTAGAATACTCACTTCTAAGACTTCTCTTTTCTTTCTGAACTCAGGGCCTTGTGATTGCTAGGCAGTCGTTCTACCACTTGAGCCATGTCCTTATAATTTCCTAAGTATTTGCTTTTATAAGAGAATATAAAAGTATAAGAATAAGAGAGTATAAAAGTGTAAGAGAATAAAAGCAAATACTTAGGAAATTATAAGGACATGGGGTAAAATTATAAAAAAGAAACTGAATGGTATACAGAACATGGGAGGCTGAGGCAGGAGGATCCTAAGTTCAAGGTCAGCATGGGCTACATAGTAAGATCCTACGAAAAAGAGAGAGAAAGAGAGAGAGAGAGGAAAGGAAAAAGAACAAAACATTCATAAAGATGAATAATAGACCTTGGTATACCTGGCTAATGAGGGAGAGCCCATTTCTTCGCCACATCTCAGCAACAACCTGGGCAACCAGCACCAGACAACGCAAGGGATATTCTACTAGTACCTCTACTTGAAAGTCCTCCTGAAACAAAGTGAGGTCAATTTCATTACTGCACCCAGGGCTCAGATTTATCTCAGTTATGACACTGTACCTTCCTCAGTTTTATAAGCTATAAGGTGAACTAGATGACTTCCAAATCCTTGTGATTCAGATTTCAATGTGATAATATATAGTTGCAAATTACTAAATAAGAATTACTTAGATGGGGTTTAAAATACTTTTTCCTTTCTCACCTATTAACAAAGATGTAATCAAAATTAGAGTACAAATAAGTCAATACTTAATACAGTTACTTACAAAAGGCACAAATTCATGTAGTCTCGAAACAGCACCGAGCCTGCTTAAACGCACATGAAGACCTAAAATTTTTTTTAAAGGAGAAAAATAGAAAATGAGAAAGCAATTAAACCCAGTTCGTGTGTTTATTAGTTAACTTATCAAGTTAGGAAACTTGGGAAATGTAAACATATGTTTACTATGGTTGGGGGTATAACTTCATGATAGAGTGTTTGCTTAGCATGCAATACACTCATAAAATTGGGGAGAGAAAGGCTTAAAACCAGCAACAATATTAAATTAAATCTGGGTGAGAGATAAGTCACCAAATTAGTCCTTAAGTTTATACCATAAGGATCCAGACAACAGATGGCCCTGGTAAGTAAGCATTCTTAGATGAACACTAAGATGATGGGAGGGAAATAACAATGGCCCTCTACTGCAGTATCTGATCTGAGGATATCTGAACATACTGAGCACAGAATCAAAATAGAAATTATTCTAGTACTCTGGGTATCTACAAAACAAAGCTGCCAGAAATATGGGGGAAAAAAACCCCCAAGAAACAAACACTCACCAGCAAGCGTCCTGGAAAGTGGCAGGTGTATGCTTACGAGATCCTCAGACACTCTGTAGGATTTAGTTTCCAAAATATGGCCACACAACTGAACTACAATCTTGCTACTAGATACAAAACTTGTACTGCATCTCATCACAGCTTTGTGACACTCCTTATAAGCAACTAGTAAGAGTTCTTCCTTAAGGGAAAAAAACGCAAGTATGTTGGTAAGTTAGCTACTTTACCATTTATCAATCAATAAATATTTATCAAATACAAGTGCAAAATTTTTCTAGGTATTACTAGTGCTACTTCTATAGGATTTGCAAACCAGCAGGAAACATAAAATATACACTGTGTGTGTGTGAGTGTGTGTGTGTGAGAGAGAGAGAGAGAGAGAGAACTTGAGCCATGCCTTTAGCCCTTTTGCTTTTAGTTATTTTTTCAGATAGGGTCTTGTGCTTTTGCCCAGGTGGGCCTTGCACTGTGATCTTCCTACCTATTCTTTGGTACCAGCATATGTACACTGAAGTGTCTAATGTATAATGTAGTCAACACATTATTTTCAGAAGAATTAATGGGAGTCAACAAAGGTGACAATTTTCCTACTGGTAGTGAGGAAATAAAGAAACCAATAGGATTCTGGGTGTTGATGGCTCACGCCTGTAATCCGAGCTACTCTGGAGGCAGAGATCAGGAGGATTGCAGTATGAAGCCAACCCAGGCAAATAGTTCTGCAAGATCCTATCTTGAAAAAACCCTTCGCAAAAATAAAGGGAGGGGTGGGGGAGTGGAGGAGTGGCTCAAGGTGTAGGCCCTGAGTTCAAGCCCCAGTACCACAAAAAAAAGAAAAAGAAACCAAAAGGAAAATTGCCACAAATTCTAGGTTTAAGTGATAAGCATCTGAACCAGGGTGAGGCAGTCAAGAAAGGACAAAATGAACCCACAAAGAAATCAGGATTGTAAAATAAATTTGGGATTTATTTTACCAAGAAGAATCAAATCTAGGTGAGTATGGGAGGAGAAAAGAGTCAAGGTCATTCAGGTCACTCCATGAAAAATGAACTCCACTGGACAAATAAATTTTGGAAACATTCCTCTTAGAAATTAGCATATTTACTAATTAAAGAACTTGAGAAGTTCAGTAGCTTTAAAAATCCTCTTTCATTTTGTTCAACTCAAAATTTCCCAATCTATGTGAAGCCAAACATTTTTCTCCTTAACACATCTACTAATATCAAACACACAGAACACAGTGGCTCTGAGATCTCCTGTATGAATGAATATACCAATAGCACTGTCAAGATGAGAAAATGTAAATTAGAAGTGAAGAAAATGATGACAAATCAATTTAAAATAAGTGTAAAGCTGGGTGCTGGTGGCTCACACCTGTAATCCTAGCTACTCAGGAGGCAGAGATCAGGAGGATCATGTTTTGAAGCCAGCCCAAGCAAATAGTTGCAAAACCCTATCTTGAAAAACCCTTCACAAAAATAGGGCTGGAGGAGTAACTCAAGGTGAAGGCCCTGAGTTCAAACCTCAGTATTGCAAAACAAAACAAAATAAATAATAATAAATAAAGTAAGTGTAAGGTGCAAGTACAAATATCTGTACAAATATCATCCCTAGGAACATTTAACTAAATGGTAGAAATGAAAGATGTGTAAGAGAAGAGAGCAGCAGGGATGTTTTCTTTTAGCAGGCAGAAGGAATTTGAAAAAAGCAATCATGGACTGAAATTAACAGCTGATAATAGAAGTATTAAGATAGTGTAGTCTTGCGAAAATCAAAGGGAAAGAAAGGGTCAAGAAGAATCTTTACTGAAAATGCAGTGCTACAGACAATTCCAGGAAGATGGGGATGAAAAGTTTTCTAAATTTGGTTACTAAATGGATTCTTTAAAGAATACTCTAAAAAAGTACTGTGACTTAATGAATGAAGACAGTTACTATGATGACTTCAGGAGGTGTGGGAGATGTGATGATGAACAATACACACCTTGACCCATCTCCCAACAGTTGTGCTATATATAAGGGTGATAGGAACAAAGAAATATGTGCTGTAGTTGCTGGACAGTATTTGCTATTTTATTGCTCTAAAAAGCTACTGTATGCGACTAAAGTCCACTCTGTTTATGAATAGAGGTGGTAGAGAAGGGAAAAGGGAAGAAAGTGAGCGGGAATACAGTTCAAAGTGGAACCGTAAAAGCAAGTAAGGCAAGTAAGGCAGGGCTTCTATTATGGTTTTTAAGGATCAGAGTCCTGTATGTTTATAAGGAATGAATATGAAAGTGAGAAAATACAAGTTAGAGACAACTGAGGAGGCAAACTCCAGGAAAAAGTAATTTAAATTGGAGTCAAGAGCCTAAGTAGATGCACTGGTTTTAAAAAGAGACAAAAAGGAGACCAATAGTGAAGACTCAAAGAAATCTAGTCAGTAAATAGATGAAAACAGTATAGATAAACTGGAGGAGATGAAGGTATTTGACTCAAAGCAAGTCAATTTTCTCAGAAAAGAAATAAATAAGGTTATCTTTCCAAAGGGAACCTGGGTTTATATTCTGTGTTTAGAGGGTTAGGTTTAAAAATTAGTTCTATACTTTGAAATTCATTTCGAAATGGTTTAACACATGTAACAAACCTCTTGGTTAAATATCCACCCTCCATTCCTGGAAAGCTTAAGACTATGTAGTCCTAATCATCACAATATTAACATCCACTTTCAAATAAATAAATGTGTATAAAATAATGACACATACTTCCAAACCCAGTAATTTCCCAAATAAGCAAAACTACCCTGGGGCATGTTTCCTAATCAGGTGTAAAAGACTGGATTTTCCTCCTAAATTTAAATATCTAAAAACTATACTATTAATTAAATAATAAAAATTTACATTAAGGAAGTTGCAACTTAAAACTCTACGTCTAGTTAACTACTAGAGCCCTTAAAAAGGCACTGATTCTATTAACAACTCTTTAACTTACATCACAGGCACACCACTCTTGGAACATGAGTAAAATATTCTTTAATTGCATCTGTATAGCAATGGCAGCCTCCCAATCAGGATCCACTTCAATGTGTTGCCCAACCTGTCTTCTGATTTCCTCCATTCCCTGAAAGAAAAGAATGGTCAACCTATGACCTTCAGTCTTTGTTCTACTACTGCAAAATATAAAGTTGTCAGGATTCATGCACAGTATTTTAACATGGTTGTTTTACTGGTCAGAATAGATGAGTTCAAATCTCAGCTCTCTGGGGTATAGCTCAGGAGTACAGTATTTGACATCAAATACCAGCTCTGTTTGGGATTTCTAGCAATGAGAGTTCCTATTCCTTCATATGTAAAGTGAGAATAACAATGCAACTGCATCATAAGATTGTTATAAGCTCAAAAAATGTAATGTATTAGTGCTTACTACATATTAACCACATGATAAGCATTAACAGTAATAGCAGTAGCAAATAAAGATACATAGAAAAATTCATTAAAGTAGGATCCATGAGTCAGTGTTTAAATCTTATTTCTATTTTGCTAGATAAATTTTCTCTTATATGAAAACCACAATTTGTTAAGAAGAAAAATAGGAGGAAGAGGAGGAAAAAAGAAAAGACTGGGATTATTGGTGTATGGAAATTATCATACCTGCATACAGGTAAGAATCTTCAAAAAAGATCGAAAACCTTCAAGAAACTGCATTCTTAATCTTTCTGTCCATATTGTGGGTTTGCTGATCAGGATATACCTATCATTTCAAAAAAGAAAGAAATTTTTCACTTCTCTATTTTGAGATAAATTTTAAGGTTTTCAGGGTTATAAACAAGGTTGATATCCAAAATTTACTTGGTTTATTTTATATGCAACCAGCAAACTATGGAATGTTCTACAAGTATCAAAGCTAAGCCTGACTATTCCACACATTTTGCCCTCAGAGGTTAATCTGATTGAGTCTTAGAAGTCTTAGACCAACTAAGTCTAGCCTGACACAGACAACTATAGAAAAACACAATACAGATTTCCTAGGACTCTCCATGGTCATCACTTAAAGGGCCAGCAGAATTCTTTTCAGGATCAGGATATTTCAAACAGTTTTCCTACTCCCAGGTTTTGAAGTAGGAAGAAGGATATAAGCACTCATGCCATTATGGCTTAAGCATACAGATGTACTAATTTCAAGCGATAAATAGACTCATTTTAGCCTACAATTTGTCAGATCAATATTTCTCTGGGCTGAAAAGACAATGATTGGTTTCATATCCAGGGGAACAATGTTCATCATGGAATGCTTCTCAGAGTACAATCATTAACAACTATCAAAAGTTATTTTTCAATTAGTAAAATATATATTTCAAAATATATTACTGTTACATATGTATCAGATATTGGGAACATGAATATGCCATAAGATACATCCTGTCCTTGAAGTTCAAAGAGTAGTAGGAAAACCAGATACATATAGGGAACACGACAATCCAATGTTAGCCACTAAAAAAGATGTATAAAAAAAGCAGGAACATAAAAGACAAGGCAACAAATATAAAAAAAATTTGTTTTGAACTGTAAAAATAGTAAGAATGGTGTTTTAATTTCTCCCATTCTTTAGCTATGTGTTAATGTGACTGTACATTAACAATACAGGGCCTTATCAAGAAATAACTTTAAAATATGCTAATTATCATCTTTAAAAGCAAAGGAAAAAACCCTAAACCAGCCAGGCATGGTGGCTCACACCTGTAATCCTAGCTACTTGGGAGGCTAAGACTGGATCGAGGTTCAAAGGCAGTCCAGGAAAAAGTTCACCCCTCAACCAATAGCTGGACTCAGTGCCCAGGCTTGTCATCTCTGCTACCATGGGAGGCTGAGAACAGGCAGACCATGGTTCTAGGCCAGTCTAGAAAAGCTCTTGAAACAAGCTTCTTGAGACCCTATTGCAACTTAAAAAAAAACTGGGTGTGTGGCACTTGCCTGTCATCCAAGCTACAGTAGGATCAAGGTCTAGGCCAACCTGGGCAAAAAGCAAGACCCTATTTCCAAAAAATAACTGGAGCAAAAAGAACTGGCTCAAGCAGTATAGCACCTGCTTAGCAAGCATGAAGTACTGAGTTCAAATCTTAGTAGAGCCAAAATAAGAAAAGAAAACCCTAAAGTTTAAAGTCAATCATAATTAAAAAAAAAAAAAAGCATCAAGATTTGGTTGTTTTCTAGAGCAACTGCTACTTAAAATGCAGTCCATAAAACAGCAGCAACATTATCACCTGGGTACTCTTTTTTTAGAAATACAGGTTCTTGGGGTCTCATCAGACCTACTAAATAAGAATCATCATTTGAATTTGTATTAAAATATGAGAAGCACTGATTCAGAGTTGAAAGGAATTACACTTCTAGTTTCTCACAATTCATGCCTGACCTCTGTAGTTGACCCAGCAAGAGGCAAGTGACAAGAAGAAATGCAGGTAAGGGAGGAAAAGAAAAAGAAGGCAATCTGTAGATAAAAGTAGTGCCAAAAGCCATGAGAGAAGGGGAAGAAAGGCATTGACAGAGTGAGCAAGTAAGGGAGTGATTTGGTTTGAGAGTCTGCTATACTTTTCAGAAATGGGACACAGAAACAGGTAAGAATAATAAAAGGATACCTAGATCAAATGCTATGTAAATAGTTGTTACACTGTAACATTTTGAGAATAGGAACAAGAAACTGAATTATTTTTTTTCAAATATTTTCAATCTATGGTTAGTTGAATCCAGAGAAGAGGAACCCATGGATATGGAGGGCTAACTGTATTAACACAAGGTGCTCACCTTTTTTGTACTTGCCATCATAATAAAGAGAATCGTAGACAACCAAAGGATCAGAGGTTCACTTAAAAGACAAAGAAAAATAAGCACACAGTGGTTAACAGGTGCCCTCACCTTTTGACTTTAACAACTTACTTTAGGTCACATATTACTGCATATACTCTTCCCAGTTTGTCCTGGCTATAGCCCTGGAAGTTGAACTTATTGTTCCTGTCCAAGTATTCAGGTAAAACTTCTAGCAGAGTTTCAGTAATGACAGAAATAACATTCTGCTCTTCCAGGAGATGTCGAGCCTGCAGAGTATTTCAAGAATATTGTCTTTAGCATTAGCATTAACTCATCATACAACAAACTTGATTTATTCATTCATTTTAGTCAATAAGTTTTTTTTGTTTTATTTTGAGACAGGGTCTCACTTTGCAACCCAGACTGGCCTTGCTATCTGCCTGCCTCAGCTTTCCAAGTACTGGGATTACAGGCATGAGCCACCACCCCTGGAAGTAAGTAATTTCTAATAAATGTTTATTGACCATTAAATACAGCCCTTGGTTTTAGAGAATAGCATTAAAGCGAGAGCACACAAGGGAGGGGTGAGGACAGGTAAGACACCTAAAAAATTAGCTAGCATTTGTTGCCCTTAACGCAGAGAAACTAAAGCAGATACCTTAAAAGCAACTGAGGCCAATAGGAAAAGGGGACCAGGAACTAGAGAAAAGGTTAGATCAAAAGGCAACACACACCTACAGGAAATTAATGTGAGTCAACTCCCTGTATAGCTATCCTTATCTCAACCAGGAACACTTGTTCCTTCCTATTATTGCCTATACTCTCTCTTCAACAAAATTAGAGATAAGGGCAAAATAGTTTATGCTGGGTGTTGAGGGGGTGGGAAGGAGAGGGAGGAGGCGGAGTGAGTGGTAAGGGAGGGGGTGGGGGCAGGGGGGAGAAATGACCCAAGCCTTGTATGCACATATGAATAAATAAAATAAAAAAAATTAAAAAAAAAAAAGAGAACAGCATTTACTGAGAAGTAAGTTTCTAAACATAAAAATCCCCTATTTTTAGTAACTACAAAGCACTTATCTGGATACTCCGAGCCCTTATATAGGTTATCTAGGTACATATATCATAGGTAATCACAACATGAACAAATCAGAACAAAAACATCTTTCACAAAATCTGTCATATTACTATCTATTCTGGAATCTCTCCCTCACCCCAATCCAATGTATCTTCCCTATCCTTTTCTCTGGCCCTTTGAAAAAGGAAAGGAGTAGTAGTTAAAATCACCGTCCAGAAAAAAACAAGAAAAGAATTGGCACAAAAATGAAGTAGATCCTCCATTCTCCTCCCAGGCCTATGCAGACCATCTTACACAAGTGCTTGACAGGCACACTCTTCTTAGTTTTTCTTTACTGTATTTATCTACTCCAAACAGTAACTAAAGAAAAGAATGCAAAATTTTAAAAAAGTGTTGTACTGAAAAGGCCCTTCTCTTAAGTTCCTCTAGAGTGAGAAATCAGCTTTGGATATCATCTGCAGAGGTCAGGACAAGGGTAGTACACAGTTACTTCGTCCTTATTCACATACAGATATAACTAAAGTATCATTTGATTTTTCCAAATGAAATTAGTCAGAACTAATGATTCTGACAATATTTTAATTTGATTCAACATTAAGTAAAAAATTTAAAAACAAAACAAATTTTTCTTACAAATACTGCAAAGAAATAATTCATACCTACCAGAGTAGGAACAGTGAACATCTGAACTGAGAGTGCAGTTACGGAGATACTCCTGTCATGGTCATCACTGATATAGTCTTTCTGCAGTTGTTTATAATACTGAAAGATACATGTGGAGACTTACAAATCTACTAAAACCTTTTAAAATCTCAATTTTAATAACTTCTCCAGGTATGGCTCTATTCATAAGATAAGTATAATTCCTATTTATTAGAGAAAAAAAAATCTTAAGAGAATAATCAAAAGGCCAAATATGAATTCAATCACCAAACTAGCAGAGTCAGAAGAAAGATTTAAAAAGGTGAAAATCCTGGAGGGGCTCAATGGGGCATTTTATCCTTTCTCCAGATAGGTGAGCAATCTTTAGCTGTTTCAACTCAAACAATACAGGACAGGAGATAAATTCAAAGTATTTAACAACTAATATGATCCAGAAAACCAACCAATCAGATTAAATCCAGCCTTAAAAAATATGAATGCTGTTGCAAATAACTTTGTATCCATACTAGCGCAATCAGTGAAAAATCAACCCTGATGAATGAGAACAAAATTAATAATATACCTAGTCACCTCTTAAGCATCTAGTATATATAAGCACAGAACTGCATAACTGACTTACATAATGAATTTTACCCTCCAGCATTCCTGCAGAATCAAAGGGATTACCAATGCTACAAAATAATGCATCATCTAAGTTAAGGAGTCTAGCTTTTGCATAAGAAAATAAAATTTCATTTCAGGTCATACATACAGACCAATATTCTCTCCAAAGAGTTTTAGCTAATTCTGTTTATAGCCTTGGCTGCCATCACAGAAGGAAAAGAGATGCAAAGTATCACTTTTTAAAGAATTGTCTTATAAAATCCAGAGAATGCAGGGGTCTGATCCCACCATGTCATATGCCTAAAACAAGTATTATTTCTGTTTCCAATTCCATCCTGAGTCCCACCTCTACACTGTCTTATAGAATTGTCTGCAACTCAAAATCAGAAGCAATTGCAAGTATTTATTTGTATAAGACAGAGTAGAAAATTCGAAGTCTTTGTTCTGTGTAACCTTGCAAAGTAACTTGGGAGACAGATGAAAATACATAATAATATAAGATCAATAAAGCAACATATAAAACCTTAAGTTTTACCCTGTGGATTAGCCTCAACTAAGTGTAGCTGTTGGTCACCTAAGTCCTGCCTCTCTTTTAGGAAGCACACCTGTGCCTCTTTCCTGCCATGCCCTTCAAGCAGTCACTTATACTGCTGTTATAATTTTACTTACAGGAAAAAGATGCACATATGAATGTGAAAACCTCCCTTTGCTGATCTGTGCCATATTGCTCATTTTCCACCTATTTCCTCTCCAAAATGCTGTTTCCATACTAACAAATAAAGTTTTAAAAAATATTTATGTACATAAAATAAAGAAGTCTTGGCAAAGAAATGAACCGTAAAATTCAATTCTTTAGATTCACAATTATATTTCTATTATTTCACTCATAAAATTGCATCCCATTTCTATTTACTGATATCTATTCTTAAAAAGCAATTACCTTCACAAATTCCATAGCAAAGAGTTTTTTGTATTCCATCTCCATAAAAAAACTGCTGAAGATCAATTCATGAAGGATCTTACGGGCACCTACAGGTTATTTGGGGACCAGGAAGTGAGGAGGTATCAAGGCAAAAACAGCCATTAGAAGCGGTAGAATATTATAAAAAATATTTCATATGGTAACAGACATCTAGGACAACTATGAATAGCATTTACTGCAGTAACAATTAATAGATAGAATATATTGCCCCTTCCATTTTTTCTTCCTTCCTGTGTTTTGGTGGTATTAGGATTTGAACACAGGGCCTAGTGTTTGCTAAGCAGGTACTCTACCACTTGAGCCATGCTCCAAGCCCTTTTCTGCTTTTTCAGATAGGGTCTCATGTTTTTCCCTAGTGCCAACCTCAGACCATGATTCTCTTACCAAAGCCCCCTGCATAGCACAGATTACAGAGGGTCCCAACATGCACAGCTTATTTGTTGAGATAAAGTTCTCACTAACTTTTTGCCCAATCTCTACCTCCCAAGTAGCTGGGATTACAGGCATGAACCAACAAGCCCAGCCCTTTTTTTTTTTTTTTTTTACACCTCTCCCAACATTTATCTACTTCATTTTATCCTCTCCAAATCTTTTCATTGTTTCACTCAGAAGTACTCTGATTCTGTATTTTTCTTTTTCCATACTTTTTAGCTTTTTCTTCATCTTTTACTTTCTGTTCATTTAGATTTTTTAAGTGAAAATGCACTAATAAATGCATTACTATATGAACTGTATACACACTCTTGTCAGCAGGCGCCGACTAAATGAAAAGGCAACGTCCCTGGTTTTCAACACAGAAAAACACAAGCTGATTGGTTAACCTTACCTTCACCTATGCTATCTTATAAATCAAGATCACAGATTAACACCTGATTTAATACAAAGAAACTACAGCTCTAATATAAAGACATCATCCAGAAGATTAAAGTCAAGGTATTGGTTCATGGATTTCATATACTTATATAAAATAGAACAAAGAAACCTCTTGCAATTGCTTTAAGTGGAGTGGGGAGAGGGTTGAGGGGGAGAGACAGTGGGGGTGACCTAAACAATGTATAATACATGCCTAATCGGAATTGTCACTATGAATCCCCCTGTATAATGAATATATCCTAATAAAAAAATTTATAATAAAAAAATAAAGTCCTCCTCCTCCTTTGATTCCTGGGAAGTAGTGTTAAGTAAAAGTGTACTTGCCTTTATAAAGCTTTGCATCCCAAAGCATTAACCTGCTTATGAGACATGGATTCTCAGAGCCAGGTTCTTCTCTAAGACATGCTTGGCAAAAGATCTGCCTGAAGTCACCTACAAACATACAGACATTTTAGCTCATTAGTATATATATCAGATAATCTTTATTCATGGTATTTCTGCTAAAAGTGTATTTCCTATAATAACACATGAAGAGACGAATATAATCCTACTATGCTTGATGTCACAAATAACTGTGCAAACATCAAAGACCCAAGAGCCAATAAAGGATATTATTTGATATGCATTTAAATTGTTTCTTATGTTATTATATATTTGAAATGCTGTCCTGAAAGACAGTCAAAATAGATGCTTGACCAAAAAAGAAATTGAATTGACATTTAAAAATTTATGGTTATTAAAAACATGTAATAGTTTACCAGAAACAAGATAAATAGGCTGCATGCTTACTTGAATAGCTCATAATTTTGTTCATCCAGGAACCAAGACGCAAAGCAAATTTCTGATGAGCCATAACCTCAGAGTGTAATACTTCCACATGAAGCGGATGTTGAGAGACATTTTCTGAATGACTCTACAAATCAAAGGAATAATTTAAAAAATAGTACATAAATTTTGCTTTTAACTAAGTGACCTATTCTTCAAAACAGAGACTTAAATAACCCTGCTGGTTGAGCCTAGGTGCCCCAATCCTATCTTTAATTAGGATGTGAAACTACTTCAACAATGTGATCACTTTACTTTTTCTACACTGGCTCTTATACATTCCTATTAAAATTTTCTCTTTATCACAATGCAGAAAGTTACCTTTATATCTTCCTTTGCTTCCTGGCAAGCGGCATAAGCACCTGCTTTAACAGCTCGGCGACCCTAATTACAGACCAAAATAAGGATTAGATAATGGAATAATAACCACAATGAATACTTAGCCCATAGACCTAATAAGTTATCAATTATTAATCACTTGTTGACTAAAAGTTTTAAGATTCTAGGACAATACCTGAAAAGACTGTTTAACAAAACTTTTATGAACCATCTGAACCGTCAGTACCTCTAGAAGAAAATTCTGTAATTTAGGGTGCTGGCTATTCTTGCACAGCAAGAATATCAGTTTTTTATTTATAGTGTAATTTCTACTTATATCAGATAATAACTACTTAGGTTTACTAAACACCTGCTATGTGTTTTCAATAGTTTTCGTGAACGAATTTATAAGCTACTCATTATGTGTTCTATATGGACTTGTAGTCCAGTAATGAGCTGAAGGTGTGGCCAAGCTATTAATTCCTCTAGCTCTGAAGTCAGCTGAGCAAGGCTTATGCAAGATTTCCTGGTAGCTCATCCTTTTATTTACCTGTGTGTTATATGAAAAAGGTCAGAAACACTATCTTCCTCATTTAACCTTTATATAACCCTAGGAAACAGTTATTCCCATTTTACAGAGAAAACCAAAACAGAGAGATTAAGTAATTTGTCTCCAAAACAGAAAGTTAATAAATGATAGATCCTGAGATCCATGACGATTATTCCATCTCCATAGCCTATACTTCTAGCCATCCTATAATATTCCTTTTTTAGCTCCTTACCTAGTATGTAGGTAAAAAACTCCCTTCAGCAGTACATATACTACAATTGGAATGGTACGTAGATACACAGATTAGCACGTCTGCTGTGTGACACACAAATTCGTGAAGTATTCCATTAAAAAAAAACAAACAAAAAAAACCTACCCAAATATATTTGATCTGTTAATTATACCAGTAAACTTGCAAATACAGAAACAAAAAATGGCCAAAAAGTCAAGCTATAAAAGATTTTTAAAAGAACAGACAATATACCCACACCTTAAAGCTTATATGCATAGATACTGACACTCAGTCTAGGGAACTTTTTTTTTTTTTGGTGGGACTGGAGTTTGAACTCAGGTCTTCACGCTTGCAAAGCGGTGCTTTACTGCATGAGCCACACCTCCAGTCCCTGGCACTCAGTCTAAAGCAGTGGACCTCAATATAAATTGGGGATAGGAGAAGACTTCACATAACATAAGATGGCCACTGTAAAAAAAAAAAAAAAGACAGAAAACAATAAGTGCTACAAGAACATGGAGAAACCAGAACACCTGGCACTGCTAGAGAAAATATAAAACAGTAAAGCTGTAAGGAAAACAGTATGGCAATTCCTCAAACAATGAAACAGAATTACAGCATGATCTAGCAATTCTACTTCAGGATATACACCCAAAAGAACTGAAAATAAGGACTTGAGCAGATATCTGAATTATCATATTCATAACAGCATTATTACAAAGAAAAAAGGTAAAAGCAAACTGTGTTATCCACGCGTGGATGAATGGTAGACCAAAATGTGGTAAACAATGGAATATTAATCAGCCTAAAAAAAAACAAACAAAAAAAAACCAAAGAATTCCTATCATATGTTACAACAGGATGACACTAAGCTAAGTGAAACAAACCAGTCACAAAAAAGACAAATACTGCATGATCCCACTTACATAAGACACCTGAAATAGTTATACTCTTAAAAGGTACAATGGGGATTACCTGGAACTGGAGAGGAAGAGAGAAGGAAGAGTTATCTAACGGACACAGAGTGCCAGCTTTACAAGATAAAAATGTTCAAGAGAGCTGCACAGCAATGTGTGTACTGGTAACACTGTGGTACTGTACATGCAAAAAAGGTTAAGAGCTGGAGGCATGGCTCATACGGTAAATGGCCTGCCCAGCTGCATAGCAAGCACAAAGCCCTGAGTCCAAACTCCAACACCACCAAAAAAAACCAAAGTTAAGATAGTAAATTTTATGTTACCTGGGTTTTATCACCATTAAATTATTTTAATGACAAAAAATGGGGAAGGGTGACAGTGGGAGCAGATCAACTGGAGAGAGGCATTTTTCCCCCAAATACATGGGCATTTCTTTCCCCTCCTCTTCCCATATTCTCAATTTTAACAGTAGGCTTGAGCTAACAGTTTTTGAAAAAAATTCTCCCCACCTGATTCTAATTTGTATACCATATATACAAATGTACATCTTCATGGGTTTGTGAAACAAACCAATTAAAACACAATCTCATCTAGCCAAGAAGCACATTTTCACCTTAATGTGGTATATATTACCTCATGTCCTATTTTTCTTTTTGTACAAACCAATCATCATTTATTAAAAAGCTTTTTTTTGCAATAACCATCACCTTATGGAGTCTTAGGATCCAAAAGCAAATCATTCCAACTAGTAGACAGATTAGTTATAATCACAAGCTCTCTCCACTTTGACTGTAGCAGAGAGTAGTAAAGATGAAAGTGGCAACTACACTCTAGTGGCTCACTCCTGTACTCCTAGCTAGGTAGGAGGCTGAGATTAGGAGGATTGAGGTTCAAGGCCAGCCCAAGCAAATAGTGTTCAAAACTCCATCTCCAAAATAACCAGAGCAAAATGGAGTGGAGGCATGACTTAAGCAATAAAGAGTACCTTCTTTGCAAGCAGGAGCCCTGAGTTCAAATCCCAGTTCCACTAAAAAAAAAAGTGTTAACCACCATGTGTTTTGCCTTGATGTATAATGGAGAGATGTTAGAATGTGCCTCATGGGATGGTTGTGAAAGTCACATTTGTATAAAAGGCTATTAATATTTTTTATGGCAGTAGAAGGGTTTGAACTCAAGGCCTTGTGCTTTTAAAAGCTATTATTATATTATTATTGTTACTCAATAAACCTCCACAGAAGCCCTGAGTAAATCTTTTAACTACTATTTTCCTTAGTATTATCTTTAATTACATATCTTAAGTCATAGATTAGTAAGTTTCAATATTTTTGAGTACAGAGGGCTCCCTTTTCTAATCAGTCTTAATGAACCATACATAATACAGCAACTTTTTTAGTAACCAGTGATTTAAAAATTTAACTCAAGGACTGGAGGCACGGCTCAAGCATTAGAGCACCTGCCTAGCAAGTGTGAGGCCCTGAACTCAAATTCTAGTACTGCCAAAAAAAAAAAAAAAAAAAACACCTAATCCAACAAATTTTAAAGATAGAATTATTATTTTAATAAAAACGGTACCTGATATTTTACAAGAATTTAAGCAATTAAAAAATACACAAGAGGGCTGGTAGAGTGGCTCAAGTGGTAGAGCACCCGCTTAGCAAGCATAAAGCCATGAGTTCAAACGCCAGTGCCACAAAACCAAAACCAAACCAAAAAAAAAAAAAAATACACAAGAACAAGCTTAAGGCACTGAGTTCAATCCCCAGTTCTGCAAAAACAAAAGGCAGGAAGAAAGGATTAATGCCAAATCATACCAAAATCAACCAACACCAATGTACTGACATTAATCAGCTAAAGGAACAATCAGATAAATAATTTTAGAAAAATTATTTACATAGGAGAGAATTACAGGGAATCGGGGAAGAGAGAAGGGAGTAACGGTGAGTCAGGCTATCAGAATTTGATGAATTCTTTTCCAGAATGCTCCTCCATTTTATCTGTAGGCTGTGGCAGCACATAAGAAACAGGAAAGAGAACTTTACCACATCCTACCAAAAATACATGTGTTAAAACTCCTCTCTGGAAAGTCAGAATTGATAAAATGCCAAATGCTCTGTCATCCACATCCATCACAAGGACAAATCCTGATTCCAAAAGGCAGCACCAAAGGAGCTATAACCTCAGCAGTGAACACCTTGCTAAATATAGTTTAAGAAAATTTAAATCACTTGATGTTCAGTTCAAAGTAAATGTTTCTAAGATTAAAAAGAAAAAAAGAAGAAGAAGAAGAGGAGGAAGAGGAGGTGATTGTAGGGAAAGGGATAAAACAGGACGAAGACAGTAGGAGACAAAGATCTTGCCATTCCATTTGAAAACCACATGTTTTCTCAGTCATACTAGCTCACAGTAATACTAATACTACGAAGAATAATGTATCTTGACATTTACCAACACTCTGCAATGTTAACCTTGATTGTAAAATGGCAAAATGTGAACTGGGAAAGTGCATCATTGTCTCCTTAAAATTCTCCTGAGTGCCTGTTTTCTTTATGAGAATGGCAGAGAATAATCCTTTGAAGGCAGAGAACAATTTGACTTCTCTCTGCATTTCCTCTAAGCACCTGTATAAATATTTAATAAGCTGACTGACAGTACATTTTAAGAGGATCTTTGACAAGCTGGTATTTATCCAAGGGAGAAGGTGGCGAGAAGGAAGCAGAGGTTGACCAGTTTGAGCTTAGTATCACAAGACAAACAGCTGAAGAAAATGGAAGAAAGCAGACATAGAAATAAGAAATTGGGCTAGTGGAGTAGTTCAAATGGTAGAGCGCCTGACTAGCAAGCATGACACCCTGAGTTCAAACCTCAGTACCACCAAAAAGAAAAAAAAAAAAAAGAAATAAGAAATTAATATACTTATTTAACTATTTGATAGGTTGCCTTCTGAAAGCAAATGCTCTTTTTAGGTTTGTTCTTTTTTACATTAGCCTGAAACTACATGGAGACAGATTTTGGCCGACCACATACACACATACAAAAAAAATTCTAAGAATGAGAATTGTCCAGCAAGCAGTCAGAGAGCAACTCTCTTAAGTACTCACGCAAAAGTTGGAAGATCACTGGCCAGGAATATTGTACTCTCAATACTCATTATAGTTTGAGTGGTTTTCAACTTTTTGCTATCTTACATGCTAATAAACATACTTTCTCAGCAATAATGTCCTAGTAGGACAAAAAACAAAAGACTCCATATTTTTCCTTTAAAAAGGATATTCAAAGAACATCTGTTTCTCTCTCCCCCCCATACTGGGAGTTGAACCCAGGGCCTTATGCTACTACTTAGGCAAACGGGTATTAGTTAATGCCTTTGTGACTGCAGCCACGTTTATGTTTTCTGAATAAATATTTGTTTAGTAACCGTGGCAAAGATCCAAGCAGAATTTACTTTGCACAACTGGTAGTTGAAAATTACAGCCTGACTGACCCATATTCACACTACAGCAATTGTAGCATTGGCACTAATATCTGCCCTAAACTGTTACCATTCTCAAGGAATAGAAAATGTTTGCTAAGCACCCATTTCACTTTTTTCCTTCTGTTCTTTCCCTATCTTTACTTTCTCTTCTCTTTTTCTTGCCTTTAAATCTTCGCCTTTTCTCACCTCACTTACCTTTTGATCAAACTTTCTAACTATAAATATACCTTTCAACTATTTCTACTCAAGTCCACTCATACATTTATGCTCTTCACTTCCTTACAATAAATCTGATTTTGGGGATCTACCAACCACAGAGTTGGTAAATTCTTAAGAGTTGTGTTAAATTCTAAGTAATTTGGAAACACAGTCAACCTGAGACCTGTAAACATTCACAAAGATTTATGACCACCCCTTGACTATATCCAATCTAAGAAGCCATACAAAATTTAGAAGAAAACTCAGGTCAAATTGATATGCTGATTGTATCAGGGCCAATTATCTCTTTAGCCTTTGAGCAGAGACAATTGTTTATACAGAAAAGAAATGCTGAAGATAAATGCTACTCAAAATGTGATCTTGTATCAGGCGCATCAACATCACCTCACAACTTGTTAAAAGTGAAGACCTGCACAGCCACATCAAACCTCCTAAATCAGAATCTATACTTTCAATAAGATCTCCACAAGGTTCAATGAAAATTAAAGTTTGAAAAGCATCATTCTACCCAAAATTCTTGTATAGTTGGAATGGACTACAGTGAGTCAAGGTATTGATTCTTTTAATCCTCAAGATAATGAACACAGGTTTATGAAATAGAGATAACAGTACCTGTCGCAAAGGCTTGTTCTTTGAATGAAATGAAATATTACATGTAAAGTACACACCACGTTTGACATATGTAAATACTTGGCAAATGTTAGCCAAAAATACCCTTTTGTTTTTATACCTCATTTGCCCTTTCTTTAATGATATGCAATTAAATAAGACATACATAAGAAACACAGAGAAAAGAAGGTAATCATCCATTCCATAAAACCACCTATTTTCTTTTAA